AACTGGAAGATTTCTCTCAAGAGAGGCTAAGAATTGATACTATTCTTAAGAATTGGGGTCTGGAAATTATTCTTTGTTTTTTATTTTCCTAATTTTGTAGATTTCTTGGTTTTCAGAAGCCATCATGCTTCACAATGAAAATAAACCTTTGAAATTTAACATTAATAGAACTACATTGCAAACTATTTAAAAAACTGAGAAAATAAAAATCACTCTTAATTCTACCATCCTACCTCAGCTATTGGTTATATTTTGATGATTCTCTTATAGCCTTTTCTACTAATTTTTTCCCTGGGCTAATTATAGCATATATTTGGTGTAATTTTTTTAAGTCTTCACTTCACAAACTAAGCACTTTTTAATAGTTTGTGTTTGCCCAGCCTTAGCCTTAATTTTTTAGACATGCAAATTACACACACACACACACACACACACACACACACACACATCTAGGTAAATACTATCAACTGGAAACTTATTTTATTTATTTTTTTTTATTTTTTATTTTTTTTAAAGATTTTATTTATTTATTTATACATACAAGCACTGGGTACAGTCAGAAGCGCGGGAGGGTGAGAGAATTCACCAGAGCCAGAGCGGGGAGCAGAGCAGGCAGAAGGACCAAAGTACACTGCTGAGGGGAGCAGCGGGCGGCAGGAGAGGTCTGCGCGCCATGTGGGACCCTCCTTCGGTGGCCGGGGAGCAGCCGGGGATCGAACTGGCGCTGCAGAGGATGCGGGCAGCTTCGCAACCCAGTGCTCAACCGCTGCACCACCAGGGAGGCCCTGGAAACTTATTTTAATTTGAACCTATTTATTATCTCTTTGACATGAATAGACTCATGACTAATATGAAAATAGTTCATTTGTATAGCCTATCCAGTTGATTCAGTGTCATCTTTAATATTCAAATTTAGCATTGCAGATGGAACAGTTAATATTTAGTAGCTCATTTACATAGCTAGCACTCATATTAAACATCATTGCTTTACTTTTGTTTTGCCTGCTATTGCTCTTTGCTTCCTTAGTATTAAAATAATGACTAAGACTTGCATGCCAGCCCTGCATCTGGCACTGTGCTAAGCACTAGTATAGATCATCTTTTTTAATACACACACAAACACAAAATATCTATGAATTAGATTCTGTTACCTCTATTTTACAAACATGGAATCTGAGTTTTAGTGGGGCTAGGTAATTTGCTCGAGGTCATACAACAAATATATTAGGGTCCAGAACTTGAATATGTGGAGCTCCACTTAACACTGTGATATTCTCAGATTCTAAACTATTATAAAACAATTGAGGCCATGATTACTCTGGTCTTTCTGAGTCTTCCTTCAGCCTGCATTTGAGCCTGTGGAAGTGATAAGATTTTGTGATTTTATCAAAGAAGGTATCTGAAATTTTGAAATCCATCAGATAGGATTCTTACCCTATTTTTTCATATTCAGTTCTCTTATCATCTGATCTTTGTTAAGGGATATACATCCAACAACAGTAAGACTATTTACCAGACTATATGCCTGACCTGTTCTTGGTTTCAGAGTTGAGTATTATTCAAGTTGAAGATCCAGACTCGAATAATAAATACGTTCTTTACTGACACAACTATAAAACTATACAACAAAGATAATGATATATACCTATAGCTATCTAAATACAGCTAACTAGCTAGATATTTAGTAGGATATGTGACACTTGGTACATATTCATTGAACGTTTCTTCCTCCTCTCCCCCCGCCCCAAGATTTCAATAGAAAATGGATTAAGAGAGTTAACTTAGGATTCTTTTAGTGAGCTCAAATGAACCATAGTAAGGGAACCATAACAAGGTATAAAAGCACTGAGAAAAATGTTGCATTTTCCTCGCAAAGGTGCACAATTAGCATAGTAAGTTAAATTTCCAAGAGCATTGGAAAAGTGACACAGATATTTAATCTTGGGGTTATATCTAAGAAAAGTAAGTTTAAGGGGATCACATCAAGTGATGTTTTGTTGGCCCCCTTCAACCCCCTTTCTAGTTCTATTTACGCCAGCATTCTGGATAACCTTTTCCTGATTCCCTGGAGAGGCATCTGGATATAATATAAGTAAAACTTAATACTGAGTTCTAGGTTGCACACCTCTCCTGGGGAGAGTTACTCCTTGTCATTCTTTGTTCTTCCCCTTACAATTCTGCTTTCTCTCTTAACTTCTATTATTACTAATCATGTGCTTGACACCCTTAAGAATCCAAAGTTGAGAAACCTTATGAAGCTGTGTCCTAATGTCAGCATGAGTCTCTAGTGTGCTGTTTGCTCAGGAAGGGAAAAAAGAAAGTTCTAGGCTATACTTTGAGTTCACTGTAAGGGCGTGTCCTTCAAAATGACCCCATTGCCATGCCAGGAGTGACTCATCACCTCTACTTCTTGGCTACATCTGTTTTTTGTTTTTTATAATTAGAAGGCAAGCAAGACTCATGCAATCTTCAAGTTTAACAGAGGTCAGTTTTACATTCAAGCCTTGTTTAGAACCTACATGGATCCAGTCTGGCTAATTTTTGCTAGCCAGACTATGTCATTAACAAAGAGCTTTGATAATATTCCATTGTGTATATGTACCACATCTTCTTGATCCAGTCATCTATTTTTGGGCATTTGGGTTGTTTCCATACCTTACCTATTGTAAATAGTGCTGGCTATGAACATAGGGGTGCAGGTGCCCTTTTGAATTAATGTTTCTGTGTCCTTTGGGCAAATACCTAGGGGTGGAATTGCTGGATCATATGGAAGCACTATCTTTAGTAGGTTGAGGAATCACCACACAGCTCTCCATAGTGGTTGGACTAGTTTGCACTCCCACCAGCAGCGCAAGAGAGTTCCTTTTTCTCCACATCCTCGCCAACATTTGTTGTTGCTAGTTTTTTTAATATATGCCATTCTCACTGGTGTAAAATGGTATCTCATTGTAGTTTTGATTTGCATTTCCCTGAATACAGGTGATGTTGAACATTTTTTCATATGCTTATTGGCCATTTGCATTTCCTCTTTGGAGAAGTTTCTTTTTAGCTCTTCTGCCCATTTTTTGACTGGATTATTTACTTTGTTTTTGTTGAGTCGCAAAAAAGATAAACTCATGCAATTTGCAGCAACATGGATGGAGTTAAAAGGGATCATGCTCAGCGAAATAAGCCAGAAAGAAAAAGAAAAATATTGATGATCTCACTCATAGCAGGAATTTAGAAAACGTAAATAAAGGACCAGGAAAAAGACTAATTATATAAAGAAAATCAAAATCAACAAGCATCTATAAACCAGAGACACACTAAAGGGAGGGGGGAATAAGAGGAGGGATCAGGGACAAAATATGAGGGGTGGGAATTGTGCAGGGAATAGAATCAAAATAAAAATGCATACACTGTGCAAAAATGAAAAATGATGTAAGAATTATATTAAGTAAAGTAAAATATTAAAAAAAAGACAATCCATTAAAAAAACAACAACAAAGAAAGAGCTTTGGTAAAATTTGCTTTTCAAAAATGTAATACCAAGCTGGCAAATGTTATAAAAACAACCTAGATCTTTCACACAATTTATTATTCCATATGACTTCTTGAAGAGGAATACGCAATAGTAGTACTGAATAACTCCTTAATGGCAATGTTTTAGTTTGAGTGTGTTTAAGATCTCTTTCTAAGTTATGAGGTTGCTATGTTTAGGAGAATAATTAATCAATTTCTTAGGCACTTCACTAAAATAACAAACAGTACATTATTGGAAAGGGAGATTCTACTTTTATTTTTTAAAGATTTATTTTTATTTACTTATGCATTCAAGAACTGGGGTATAGGCCAGAGGTGCAGGGGGGTGAGAGATTCACCAGAGACAGAGTGGGGAGCAGAATAGGCAGATCTACTGAGATACACTGCTGAGGGGAGCAGCGAGTGAGACAGGAGAGGTCTGCTGTGCCATGTGAGTTAGCTCCCTGGTTGGTATTGAACTAAAGTGCAGTGGCTGGTGATAGCGCTTAGACTTTAACCCCTTTGCCACCAGGGAGGCCCAGATTCTACATTTAATAAAAACATAGTTCTTTTATAAGCTCTTTGTATCAACATTATCCTTTTCTTGTTAAGAGTGAAAATATTTCATTTCTTTATTGAGTAGAGTGGACACCTAGCAGATTTTTAGAATGTTCTCTGTGTTCTTCAGGCACATGACTTTGGATATTGTTACTTTTTTAAAGGAATATTACCTAACTTAGAGTTCTTCACCATACTGTGTTTCAAATAATGTACGAAAAACATTGTACAAGCAAGAATTCATTATAACAGTCTCTCAAATCCTGCTTTTTAGAATGCCTTCTTTAAAAAAAAAAAGATTTATTTATGCATATAAGAACTGGGGTACAGGCCAGAGGTGCGGGGGGTGAGAAGATTCACCAGAGACAGAGTTGGGAGCAGAACAGGCGGATCTACTGAAGTACACTGCTGAGAGGCACAGCAGACAAGACAGGAGAGGTCTGCTGTGCCATGTATGGGTTAGCTCCCTGAGTCGGGATTGAACGTATGCTGCAGTGGCTGCCGCTAGCTTCATAGTGCTGAGACTAACCCCTTGCACTGCCAGGGAGGCCCCTATATATAAAATGCCTTCTTTCTTAAGGTAAAGTGTACCTTTTCCTTTTAGAAATAACAATTCACTATAATGAGTTTATTTATTTATTTATTTTTTTTTTTTTGTGGGACCCTCGCCGGTGGCCGGGGTTTGAACCGGCGCTGCAGAGGCCGCAGGCAGCCTCGCAGCCCAGCGCTCAACCGCTGCGCCACCAGGGGAGGCCCTCACTATAATGAGTTTAATTTCACTTCTGGTACTAAGTAGCATTTAAACATCTATTTACTCTCTCACACACAAGTCTTAATTTCTTTACCGGTGTTCTAGAGAAATAAAGACTTGGAAACATTTATCCTGTTTTCCGTAAATCCACACTCAAATAAACTTGTATTTTGTATCCTTATTCTTACAGAATACCCACATTTCCATTTCTGTGCCTATCAAGAGTTTTAATCATCATGGATAATCTATCTCCAGAAGAAATTCAGATTAAGGCTAACCAGGTTACTGATGAGGTAAATGTTTTACATGGAATAAGTTACCTACAACAAAGATAACTCTAGATTAAAGATGCTTTGGGCATTTAATTTTAATAGAATTTTCTAATATCTGTGTAATATACCTAGATTTCTACTTCCATTAAATTTTTTATAAATTCTGTTAACTTTAACCTCTAAATTTTCTCTCAAGTAACACCTGGTAGGAAAAAAATAAAAAGAGGGATAGATGGGTTGGCAATCTTTAAAAATAGAGTAGCATCAACACCAACACAGGAATATGGCCTGTGATTATAAAATATAGCCAGTGGGGTTTTTTTGGGGGAGGGGGTTTATATATTTTATAATAATAAAACTGTATTTTTTTCCCTAGTCGCTGGAAAGTACAAGGAGAATCCTTAATTTAACCATTGAGGTAAGAAAATGATTTTAATTATCAAGTTAAGCATGAACTGTATGGGAGGGATCCTGATAGCAAAAGTTAGAATTGGTGTTGTGTCAGAAGAATATTGTATCAATAAGTTATATTTGAGATCAGAAATTACTGAAATTGCCATACCATGCACTAATGGCCCTTTTTTATTTTTCTCACTGACAATATTGGAATACAGATCAACTCACCATGAGTCTGACTTAATTGGAGGGGTGGGGTTTGGTTAATATGTTAAAGTCTGTTGGTTTGGGAACATGTTTTCTCTGTAGCTCTAATCCTCTGAGAACCTAGGTTGGAGATCTCAAATGATCGTCTAATCATTATTTGTCAGACCTTATAGATTTTGTTTCTCTTATTTTTGTTTTGTTGGGCTATCAATTTTTTCCCCCTCTTTCAGGCTCAGGATGCAGGAATCAAGACCATCACTATGCTGGATGAACAAGGGGGTGAGTTGAAGTCATTGGCAGAAACTCTTTTTTAATTTTTTAAAAAAGATTTTCTTTAATTTTACATAGAAGAACTGGGGTACAGGCCAGAGGTGGGGGGGGAAGTGAGAGGATTTATCAGAGACAGAGTGAAGAGCAGAATAGGCAGATATACTGAAATACACTGCTGAGAGGCACAGCATGTGAGACAGGAGAGGTCTACTGCGCCATATGTGGGTTTGCTCCCTGGCTGGGGATCAAACTTATGCTGCAGTGGCTGCCAATAGCTTCATAGTGCTGAGACTTAACCTGTTGCGCTGCAAGGGAGGCCCCCACATTGGCAGAAACTCTGGATTTGACTTATAATGCCAGAAAACACTTTCAGAGCAGCCATATATGAAACTCAACCTTTAGGAGTGCCTTCCCTTTGTAAGATAAGAGTGATTTGTTTACTTTTATTCTCTCATTGGAATTAAATCATGTCCATTGGCTATTTGAGGTAGAGGCAGCAATGCCCAATTGAATACCAAATAGTTGATAAGTAGCAGGGCTTATGGCATGCATTAGACATTATGATATTCTTACATCATTTTCAGGAATCATGGTAAGTCTTCAAACAGGTCTGGATCCAGGTGAACTTAGAAACATTCCATTTGAGTTGGCCCTGAGCAACCCTGGACTAGTTTTTATTAGTCTTGTGACAACACTCAGGTTTTGAACCTATTCAGTGATAGAAATGCTGAGGAGCTGCTCTAGTCAAAGAACACCTACTTGGTTGCAAGTGTTATCTCTGAACAAATCTCACGTTCTCCTAGCATATAGATTTCTTTAGAACAAATCATTCCACATGAAGAGGCAGGCTGCTTCAGCATCAGTATGGAAAAGGATTGTTTTCACATAGGATAGTATATAATACTTTCTGGCACTGATCCATTTACTACACAGTAGGTTGTTGGTGGATTCAAGGTTGAAGTTTTCTAGTCTATAATAATAGTATTTTCTGGGTGCATGCAAATGTCACACAAAATTTAACTACTGCAACTTACTCTCAGAACAACTAAATCGCATAGAAGAAGGCATGGACCAAATAAATAAAGATATGAGAGAGGCAGAGAAGACTTTAACAGAACTCAACAAGTGCTGTGGCCTCTGTGTCTGCCCATGTAATAGGTGAGTTGATAAATTAAGACCTTTTTATTTTTTTTTTTTATTATTTTTTTTTTTAATAGAGGCATGCTTTATTTATTTGTTTGCTGGTTTGTTTGTTTGTTTTGTTTATACATGCACTGGGTACAGTCAGAAGCGCGGGATGGTGAGAGAATTCACCAGAGCCAGAGCGGGGAGCAGAGCAGGCAGAAGGACCGAAGTACACTGCTGAGGGGAGCAGCGGGCGGCAGGAGAGGTCTGCACGCCATGTGGGACCCTCCTCCGGTGGCCGGGGAGCAGCCGGGGATCGAACCGGCGCCGCAGAGGCCGCGCGGCCTCGCAACCCAGCGCTCAACCGCTGCGCCACCGGGGAGGCCCAATTAAGACCTTTTTAAAATAACATCAGATGTGTGTGGCTTGGATTTGATCAATCCTTGCTTGGATCAAGTCTCAATTTCATTTTTTAATGTTAATAATATAATTTCCTTCCAAAAGTTGGGAAATATACATCTGGATAATACAGAGCAGGATGGAATTAGTTTTTCTTTTCTTTTTTTTTTTTAAAGACTTATTTATTTATACAAGAACCAGGATACAGGCCAGATGTGTGGGAGGGTGAGAGGATTCACCTGAACAGGGAACAGAACAGGCAGACTGACGAAATACACTGCTGAGGGGAGCAGCGGGCAAGACAGGAGAGGTCTGCTGGGCCATGTGGGTTTCTCCCTGGCTGGCCGGGATTGAACCCGTGCTGCAGAGGCTGCGGACAGCTTCACAGTGCAGCGCTCAACCGCCTGCACCACCAGGGAGACCCAGGTTTTCTTTCAAATAAGGAGTGTTAACAAAATATATATTCTGTGGGTAGGCTATAAGGGAAGACATTGGCTCTGCTTCCTAATGACTTACATGTGGTTGGATATATGAGAAAGAAAAGTGAAAAATAAAAAATATATGAATGTAGTTCTACTTGCTGTGGTATTGACTAACACTATATTTATAACTGATGTAAAAGAGGTAGGACTTAATTTGGACTGAGTGAATAGAAAGCTCTGGATGGATATGGAAAACTGGGAGGACAGTCTTATAGAAAATACAATATAAACAAGGATTAAGGAGATTCTTGACTTAATTGAGCTGCATGTCTTATATGGATAAAAAATGAAAATAAAACATATATAGGCACTATAGGAACTGGAATGCTAGACTAAGAGGTCAGTGGATTAGAGTGGAATATATAACTATACACTAGGAGACTAGTTTGGAACCTTTTGTAATCCATGCTTGTGAAGTAAGAATTTATCATTGAGATTTAGGGAGACAATTATAAATTATAGAGAATTCATTAAAGTGATTGATTATATGTCAATCACAAAGAAGGATGAATCAAAGAAGACTGGTGATTTAGTCTGATAAAGTAGTAAAGGAAGTCTTCAAACATTTTTTGTACAATATATAAAATTGTTCTTGACAGAAAGTGATTCGTTATTTTTAGTGACTCCGTTATGAATATTTAAACTCTTTTTCTTAGGTAAAACAAACCCCTCGGTGCTGACAAACATTGTATGTATTCAGACCAAAATGAGGTTTGGACTAAGGAAGTTAACCATTACCTTCCCTTTTTAAAACAAAGATGAGAAAGAGCTCATTTTTGTTTTAAAAAGTAAATAGCAAAACAACTTTGAACTTTACCCTTAGTTAAAATGACAATGTCTGGAGATTAAATTACTATTCTTACTGATGAAAGTACAGCAGGTTCTCAATAATATCATAACATTGATGAGAAAAGAACAATCTTGGCCAGCACTGAAAGAAACACCATTATTAGAAGACCAACTTTTGTTATACCCCCTGAAAGGCAGTTTTCAACAATCTGAGTGACATTAAGTGAAGATTTAATGTGTTCATTTTTTTTTAAATTTCATAAGTGTAAGTACTTCCTACCAATTTTCTCAACTGGTGTGCTAGTTGAGAAGGCAAAAGTTTGTCAGCACCATGAGGTTTGTTTTACCTAAGAAAAAGAATTTAAATATTCATAACGGAGTCACTAAAAATAACGAATTACTTTCTGTCAAGAACAATTTTATATATTATGCAAAAAATTTTTGAAGACTTCCCTTCCTACTTTATCAGACTAAATCACCAGTCTTCTTGGAGGAACTTTTGTTATATCATCATACTTTCAGATAAGTCCTTTCATGCAACATTCTTTGTGCTATCACTATCAGTGTTCAACAACTTGTTGCTTCAATAGAATTTGTTTCTAGAGCGTGAAGTCAAGATCTGAGCATGTTCACTTTAATTTTGTCCATTGACTTCCTGTTCTAAGACAAATCTGTTTACCTATTTTGATCTTGGCTGACTTTCTGAAAGTACACTTTCAATAACTATGGCTTGTCGATCAGAGTTTAGCAGATTACTTTAAGCAAACAAGTTTTAAATGTACAGATTATTTGAACCAAACTCTTTTAACAGTATCTGCTAACTTTCTTAGCCTTTCTCCTGTGTACTGTGTGCCCTCTTGAAAGAGTGCAGAGCAGAAGTAGTAAAAGAATTTCCTTGAAATTAGATATTAGAGCAGGGAGAAAAACATCCTCCCTAAAACCTAGAATAAAATCAACTTTGGGTCAGAAATTGATAAACCAGGGTAGCACTTGAGTTGGAAGCTGGTCTTATCATAGAAAATGGAAAATGGAGCTATAGAAGTATTAATTTTATTTCTCTTGTATGTCTGTATCCCAGCCAGGCATAGGGAAGGTTTTCTTGGATACTGGTAAGAAAGAAGGCAGAGTATGTTCTTGAAGCAGTCTTCAACCTTTGACCTCTAAAAGCCCTCTCTCGTTGGGTCAAGTGAAGAGATACTGCTTAACGATGGAATCGAGGGGCTGCTATAACAAAACAGTTTCCTTTTGTGGAAAGTGTAATATCCCAGTTAAAGATGTCTGCTTTTAATTGCCTTCCTTCCACCAATCTTTTCTTTATACTAAGAGTCCTATCTTGGCTCTTCTGTCTCTGGTTACATTCCTGCCAGTGCCTTTCTAATCTTATCTGCTAATCTGTGTTTCAGTTAGACTTATGCAAATAACCATAGCATGAACTTCTCAAAGGGTAGGGTCTTTAGGATCTTGGTCTTCTTGGAACAAGGCTGGGAATAACAAGGCTGGTAGCAGTGATAACAGCCCAAGTGTCTTTTGTCTCTTGTTTGCTATTAGGAAATCTTTTTTTTTTTTTTAAAGATTTATTTATCTATTTATGCAAGCAATGGGTACAGTCAGAAGCGCAGGAGGGTGAGAAAATTCACCAGAGCCAGAGCGGATTGCAGAACAGACAGACCGACGAAATACACTGCTGAGGGAAGCAGCGGGCGCGGCAGGAGAGGTCTGCGCACCATGTGGGACCCTTGCCCAGTGACCGTGGCCGATAATCGAACCGGCGTTTCAGAGGCTGCGGGCAGCCTCGCAGGCCAGCGTTCAACTGCTGCCCCACCAGGGAGGCCCTATTAGGAAATCTTAAACACAAAGCAAATATTGTACAAAAAATGAACAATGATATAAAATATAAATAAGTAAATTTTTAAAGATTTTTAAAAATCTAAAACACTCTGAAAGCCACAAAACAGGTTGTGTTTTGTCTTTTGTATAATGTGAGACCATAACTCATTAATTCATGTACAAAATGTAACCTGAACTGAAGCTATTTATAACCTTTATCACACTTAGTGTAAATGTGAATTTGTTTCACTAAAGAAATTTTGATGTATTTTATTATGTGGTACTTCTCAAATGTCTTGCATCCATGGGTTTGGATGACTATTGTGGACATATTGTAATTTAGACTCTTACTATTTTTGGCACTTTAAATTTAATCTTAATATGAGGTAGATTCGCTTTCATCACAATTGTGCTTATGGGCAACAGGCACAGAGGCTACACTAGCAAGTGGCAGAGCTGAGATTCAAAGCCAGGCAGAGCCCCAGCTTTTAACTATATATTGCATTGCTTGACTTTCGCAAGAAAAGAATCGACCTTTTTGTCGTTGCTGTTGTTAGATAGATTGCAATGTAGAAATGGTCTTGAGTATATTTGTTCTTTGAGATTTCTCTTATTTAGTAGCATTCACTGAGGCCAAGTCAACAAATCTTTTTTCAGTAAGATATGAAAAATAGCTTTACTTAATGTAACCCTACATTAGAAAGGATTTTTTTAAAAGATTTATTTATTTATACACACAAGAACTGGGGTTTAGACCAGAGTATGGGGGGTGAGAGGAGTAAATTGCCTCGTATTCTAGTTTAATCATTCTCAGACAAGACATCCCATCTTAACTTGCCTGTCTTTGGTCTGTGCTTATAATGTCAATGGTGCATAGTTTGAAGACAAATTGGTATTTCTGGGCCACTTACTAAAGAAGTTCAAAATTGATACTATAGGTTGCTACTGCTCTAATCTTATTGAGATGTAAGCTCTGATTGATTAAAGCAACTACTGAATTATACTCCAGTTAACATTTGAGTGTTTCCTCCATCCTACTCAATGAAGATATGAAAATGAATAAGACATACTGTTTTATCATTACTCTATTTTTTTTTTATAGAGGCATGTTTTATTTATTTATTTGTTTGTTTGTTTGTTTGTTTGTTTGTTTATACAAGCACTGGGTACAGTCAGAAGCATGGGAGGGTGAGAGAATTCACCAGGGCCAGAGCGGGGAGCAGAGCAGGCAGAAGGACCGAAGTACACTGCTGAGGGGAGCAGCGGGCGGCAGGAGAGGTCTGCGCGCCATGTGGGACCCTCCTCCGGTGGCTGGGGAGCAGCCGGGGATCGAACCGGCGCTGCAGAGGCCGCGGGCAGCCTCGCAACCCAGCGCTCAACCGCTGTGCCACCGGGGAGGCCCCATTACTCTATTTTTTTGTGCCCCACATGATACCTTATGCATACTATGGGCTCAGTAAATACTTGTTGATTCAATCCACACTATGGGCTCAGTAAATACTTGTTGTCCTTTTGAAGTTTGTTGGGTGATGAGAGTTACATATGTAAAAAGTTTTAAAATTAAAGTGCAAATAAAACATAAAATAGAAGTAAATAAGAGAGCTCTGTAAACACCACGGAAAGATTGTGACAGTTTCACAATTTCTCCATTAGTATTTACGTTCTCTTCATACTAATTTTCATAGTTTTAAGAAAGACTGTCTTCACCTAGACATCATCAGAAAAATGCAGTGTACTCTGGTTTAAATTATTTGTTTTTCTTTTTATCTAGATTCTCAGATGTTGGTTATTTCTATGAAACCAGGCAGGAATTTAAATGCATTGTTTTGAAAACTTTAAACCTGCATCTGTTCTGTTTGACTGGCATTCACTATTTTCTGCATTTCATTCTCTCACCTAATTCTCTTCCTTTCTAACCTGCTTACTAAAAAATGAAGATTTAACGTCAGAAGCCGGGCTCAGTAACTGATCAAAGGGAACTTTAAGATGCAGTCTTGTGACGCAGTTTGGGCTGTTAACCTGCTATTGAAAGGTGATGCTTCAAATGGCTTTTCTGTGCATGTGCATGGATTTTGTGAGTAGTGGAGTCTGTCATATAGACTGTGCTGTGGTGTATAATGTAAAGTGAACTACTTCTTGATGGATGCTGTCTGCCAAAAGATGGGCTTGGAAAAAAGGATTTAAATTTGTAATACCATCCTTTGACTAATGACTTGATAACTAAGTTTTGGCTAAATAACATTTAAGATTATAAAAATAAAAACATCCCTGACATTCCTAAGAAGTTTTAAGTAGGTTGATCTTTTAGAGAATTGCTGCATTCTAGTTCTGAGCATAGGTAAGGGAATTCAAGCTAAATCCATCTCTTTCCTTAGGAATTTTGATAGCAGCATCTTCCTTTCCAATACCAGAAGCAAGGTTTTCTCTATTTGGATTCTTTAGGGTTTAGGACACTACCAAATTGAGGAATTAGTCACCAATCTAGTCCTCTTAAATGCCATTTGGAACAAGGTGGGATATAAATTTAAAATGCTGGATTGTCTAATATTGTCTTTTTTTATGTAAAGGGTTTTCCTGTTTTTATAGCTCTGTACAATATGTTCCATAATTTGTATCATGTCATGTGTTAGCTTGCTGTGATTTCATGTGGAATGCAGAGCTAACTAATCTTAATTTTTATGGACATTAACCCTCTAGTAAGTATTACAGTGTTTGACTCCTTAATTTTGAATCTTTATGGAACTTTAAAGACCATGGTTAAATGTTTGAGAATCAAATATTTGATTTCTATGCTTTGTTTTTTGCTGCCTTTCTTTTTCTTTTTTTGTAGCCTGATGATACAATACATACACATTCATACTCATTACAGTTGGTATTTATTTGATCACTTTTCTCCTTGATATGAAAAAAATACAGCTAATTCTGGACTATTTGTATTTAGTTAGTACTAAATTTGCTATTTGTATTTAGTTAGTACTAATGATAAAGATTATTAGACTGCTTAAAACTGACAGTTGGGTAAAGCTAGCTTTCCAATAGAGTTTTTAATCACATTAAAATTGGTCACAAATTTGGTTAGTGATTTTATTCTAAAGCCTAATTTCTTCATAATTTAAAATGCAAAAGAGTTATCTCTCTTAGATCAGAATCATTTCTTTGTTACTGTAGACTGAAATCACCTGACCATAGGTATCTTTTTATGTAGCCATATTCCAACTATATTCAGCTACCTGAAGATCTCAAAGCTAGGGAATGTTAATGGAGCAGAAGAGTAAATATGCCAGTTGGAATCTGTGCACTGGTAGGCATCACCTCAAGATCAGGTTGAGGTTGAAGTCAAAGAATAAAAATATTTGTCTAGTACTTCATAAATAAAGCAATTTATATCCATAATCCTTTTATATCCAGAACCCTTTTATTATCCTGATAAATATTAAAGATTATTGTTTCACATATAAGGAAAAGAATGGTTAGATATTAAAGTTTGTGTAAGGTTTCTGTAGCTACTAAATGACAGGACTAGGGCTAGAATTTAAATTTACTACAAATTTTGCTACTTAAAAAAAATTCCCAGGTGTGTAAATTTGTTTCCACCAGAATAATTCCTCAGTCTCCCAATATATAGAACTGCTAAGGTAGACTACCATAGTAATCTAAAATGTTCCTTCTGCAACAGATCAGAAAACCCTTAGAACAATGTTTCTCTTCCCTGACTGAGTAGATAAATGACATTGAATTTAAAAGAAATAATGGAAGATTCCCACAGTCTGCCTCATATATATTGAAGTAGATATTCATCTCTGTGTTCAAAGGAATGCAGGTTAATCTGTTTGGGAAATACTGCCTTTAAAGATCCTTGATTTTGGAAGTACATCTGATTCTTTGTAGACTGTGCTTGAACCTCATTCACAGTATTGTTAAAACAATTCATTTCTATCTTATGTCCATTGAAAAGAATTTTCAAAAGTTTAAGGAATTTCAAACCTTCTCTCTTAAGGTTGAGGAGATTGGAGCATGTGTCTATTCCTTGATAGAACAGGAACCCACACATCCACCCCAGTCTACTCTTTATGTGCTAAGATGCTCAGAAACATGGTAACTTATTATTTAGGGACTTTTGAATCCAAGCCCTCATTCTTTCATCTGTTCTACAATCTGACATCCTGATAAAAGCTCCACTTATATTACTTATATTAATACTTCTGATCAACTTTCTCATAAACTAATATATTAATTATTTTGCTTACTATCTAGGACTCTGCTTTAGAATTTTGCCTAATATCTTATTAACACAGAATACATGCAGATGACTTTCACCAAACATAAATGTGTAAATATTCATTAAAAAAATTATATTCCACTTTGTTCCAGAAAAGATTTAACATGGCTTACTTAATAAATGAATAGATTGAATAATTAAACATAATAACATAAATAGGAAATTGTGAAAACTAAAAATGGAACCAAGAAAGTCACTTTGACAACTCTTTCTTTGGAGTTCATAGATTTATTTCCTTTTTCAGAGTCTCTTACCAAAAATATTGTAGTATTCTTTTTGCAGCAGTAGTGAGTAAAGTCTAGGATCCAAATCTGGGTTTACCAAAAATGAATTCTCATTTGTCTATTTAGGAAGGACCCACCGCTTTCATAAAATCTCCCCTCCACTTTTGCAATTTCATAACTTAATAAACTTGTATGAGTGACAATTGTACCTAGCCAAATAATCTGTAAAAAGGTTATATTTGTGTCATTTTTTTGGCAATAGCCATTTAAAAGTCAATTGCTAGGCTCTCTTTCTTGCCATTTATACCTGTTTCAGTAGTAAATTCCATGGTAAAATTTTGATTTTGGCTGGGTTTTGCCTGTATCAGTTACATCTAAAGTATTTCCTTTTAGGATTTTTTTTTAAAGGAAAATAAGTGAACTCTTAAATGAAAAAGCCCTAAGCCAAAAGATTTGTCACTGGCACCAGTGTGGTCAGGGTAATTACTCATTGACTGTTCAACTTGGAAATAAGCCATGCCAGTCCTTCATGATGTTTCTTAAGAAATCCTTTTAAAAAATTTGATGAATGCAAAATTCTAACTTTAAAGACTGATCAGTTAGAACTACTCTGATTCCAGTTAGTGGCATCTGGAGTCTAAGTGTTGCTCGCTCAGAGTTGCCTTATTCCTCCATCCCTCATCAACCTCTGAGATGCCTGCAAGGAACCTCTTAAGGCATCTCCAAGCACTTTTCCTACAGGATTTTTTTCTTTTCTGGAGTGTCACAGGTTATGGGAACCTGAAAAATCAGTAATTGCATCTGGCTACTTGCTAACTGCTTAGTGAAATTTTGCTGGAAATATTTTAAGCTTTAAAAAATTATTAATGTCAGCTTACATAATTCATCTTTTTCCTACGCTGTATTGCAGTGGAGCATAGTACACATAATCTAGATCTAACTGTATAGAGCTTTGAAGATAAGGGTGATGGTAGGTCATTCTTAAGGTAACAAGCACTAACTCCCTTTCCTGCTTTTTGATATCTCCCTACACCCCTGACTCTTATTTAGGACAAAGAACTTTGAGGCTGGTAAGGCCTACAAGGCAACATGGGGAGATGGTGGAGACAACTCTCCTAGCAATGTAGTATCTAAGCAACCAGGCCGAGTGACAAATGGTCAGCCTCAGCAAGCAACCACAGGAGCAGCCAGCGGTGGATATGTTAAACGGTATGCTAGCTCCTCTCAGTATTTTCACCCCTTACCTAACTGAATGACTCACTCAGGAGGATGGGTGAAGTTCTCCATGAACCTAAGTACATCAATAAGAAATCACATTTATCCTGTTTCTAAAATGCATTTTAAAAATCTGCCTCTCTGTTTTGCAACCGTCCCAGGCTGGGTAGGTTCAGTTCTTGCAGAAGAAAAGATAATTTTGGAGCCTTTGGTAGATTTTTATAGGCCTTTAATGCTGAATCAGAGGATAGATCAGTTTGCTCTCTCAGCATTTCTGTCTCTTCCCTCGGGCTCAGAGTGATGCTGCCCTTATATCCCCTCACCCCTCAGCACAGGGGCCCCCATTTAGATATGGACATGCCCCATGCTTTCTGGGCAGATGTCCATAGTCCTAGGGGACATGCAGGACCGCAGGTACTGGCCATAGAGGCTAATGGCGGGAGGGCGGAAAAAGGCCGACTTTTCTCTTACTCTGCCCTCTGACTGTGGTTGTGGACCTTCAATAATGGGTTCACTTCTCTTTGTGTTTTAGAGTACTTTTCAAATTACTGAAATAAGCATCTTTTATACTTCTGTATAGGAAAATGTGTTTTAAAATATATTGTCTAGAGCAGGAGTTCCCAGATCCCTATAAGTGTATCTGTAAAGGGTCACATAGTAAATATTTCAACCTTTGCAGGCCATAGGCTCTATGACAACTACTCAGCTCTGTTGTGGGTAAAGGCAGCTATAATAGGTGAGCAAATGAGCACAGCTGTGTACAAATAAAACCTGACTTACCAGATTTGACACTTGTGCCAGAGTTTTCCAATCTCTATATTAGAATAGTGTTCCATTTTAGATTTAATATTGCAGCAGAATCATCAGGGAAGTCTTTTAGGCTAGATTGCAGGGATGTACTTTCATTTTTTTATTCAGTCGATCTGGAGTGGAGTGTGAGAATTAGCATGTTTACATGTCTAGCCAGTTTGCAGGGGATGCTGGGACAGTTTGAGAACAGCAGTTGCTTCTTAATCATCACTTACATGGCTTTAGAACATTATGCTCTCTTTGATCAGTCTTTCAATTTTTACTTTAGTATGTTTAACAAGAATGGTAACATACATTCCCTTGAGTCTAATATTTGCAAAGAGTCATTTTGGTACTGGTTTTTATGAAGCTAAATCCAGATTTAGTCCATTTGCAATTCACCAACCAGTACTGAATTAATTTTCTTTTTTTTGATAGTATAACTAATGATGCCAGAGAAGATGAAATGGAAGAGAACCTGACTCAAGTGGGCAGTATCCTAGGAAATTTGAAAAACATGGCCTTGGACATGGGCAATGAGATTGATGCTCAAAATCGACAAATAGAGCGGATCACAGAAAAGGTAAAAAAGCCTTTGTGACAGGAAAATGAGACATGTGGTGTAATGTTTTAGCAGTGGACATGTGTGCTAGATGGTTTTGGGGAGAACAGTAAGATAAGATCTTGTCTTCACAGGAGTTAGTTTTGATGAGATGGTAGTTGTAACACATTGAAAACCATTAGCCAGGTCCTCCTGTCTTGCTCATGGCAGTTGGTTCATTTTGAAACCAAGATCTTGGAATGCAGTAGTTTTATTTAAACTTTCACTCATTATGCTCAGTATCTCCTCTAGCCGACATTGTGCACTCTTTTTTCCACCCTCTGAATGAGCAAGTTAGCTTTTGGAGTTTTACTGCCTAATAACAAATCAGTTAAGTTCCTGAATCCTCATTTCATGAGTCAGTAGGTAAAAATCGTGTTTGCAAAAAGATGAAATAATGCCTTTTTGGAACAAATGGATGGATCTTTTTTTTTTTTTTTTTTTTAATAAATTTTATTTTTATATTCCCCATACAATTGCAGCCCCCCCATTCTGACCCCAATCCCTCCCCTCCCACCCCCGCCCCCCTAAAAGTGTCTCTGGTTCGTAGTTTTTTGTTGATCTTGATTTTCACTTTCTTATAGTTATTCGTTTTCCTGGTCCCTTATTTAAGTTTTCTAGATTCCTGCTATGAGTGAGACCATCCGGTATTTTTCTTTTTCTTTTTGGCTTATTTCGCTGAGTATGATCCCTTCCAGTGCCATCAAATGGATGGATCTTGAGGTGATTATGCTAAGTAAAATAAGTGAGAAAGTGAAAGACTTGGTTTCACTCATGTGTAAATATAAATAACCTAAAAACACAAACTGGTAAAGTGCAGCAAAATTAATTCTTAGACTATGAAAAATACACTGGTTATCCGAGCAAATGGGGGGAGAAAGAAGGGTGTAGAGGAAGGAAGGTTAGAGGTTAGGTGAAACATCTGCACATATGGAGGTATAAAAATGTACCCCAAAAGTTATACAGACATGTAAACAACTGACAAAATTTGAGGAAAGGAAAAAACAGTTCTGCAGAGTGGTTCTTACAGAGTGGACACACAAAATAAAGGATCCTGTGAGGAAAGAAACAGTATGTTTGCTCTTTTTCTACTTCACATACATGTTATAAAAAATACTGAAAGTAAAGCTGTGTTCAGTATTTAGATGTGTCACATCTAAAAGCCATTCTTCTTTAAAATTTCATTGTACTTTAATGCTTGGAGTAAGTTTTTGAGCTTGACTCTCTGTTGAAATCAGTAACGATGGATTTCACTGAGGCAAACCATGGCTCATGAGATGCTTTTAGCTATAATGTGGGTTTAGGCTGCAGATTACTCATCATTTAAATTCAGATACTGAATTATATGAACAGAGGGTAGTACATCTGTTCCAAAAACCTTGGAGAAGATTATTTCACTCACTCCAGGTTAGACCTAGAGTAGTTCCAGATGAGATTCTATACTTAAAACCTTCCATTCAGGGGATACCCACAAAGTCCAGATCTATAGCAGAGAAGAACCAGTTATATTCATTGTGTCTAAAATGTCACTGATTTTTTTAAAAGATTTATTTATTTATGCATACAAGAAGTGGGGTACAGGCCAGAGGTGTGGGGGTGGGGATGAGAGGATTCACCAGAGTAAAATGTCCCTGATTTCAAGATGCATTCCAGTTTCAGACATGTCATTGAACTATGAAGAACATGTATTCTAGGATTCATGAAATAATGGCAACTTGTTATATGCCTTTGTCAGGTTTATTATACACTTCTATTTGTCACTTCTTGCCTAAAATGGTTTGGAACTGCTTCCCAAATTTTCTCAGTGTGTCCATTACTTCAGGTGTTTGGAACATAACTTTTAGTAGAGCAGCATACCCTGTGAAGTAATGCTTGATATCTTTTTCTTTTTTTCCAGGCTGATACCAACAAAGATCGTATTGACATAGCCAATGCCAGAGCAAAGAAACTTATTGACAGCTAAAGCTGCTGCTGTACTTCTTTATCGTTTATTCATTTTTCTAGTTCCTCCTTCACAGTCATAGCCTTTTCAGTTTGAATTTTTGGTTCCAGGCTCTTCTATGGAGAAGGGCTAGGAGCAACAGCTCCCCTGTTTTTTTCATGTTCTTTTTTACCCTGGAAGGTAGACTGCTGCTCAGCCTTCCTTCTAGTATTTTTTTTCCCTCAGTTTGTAATCCTGGATTGGTTTGTCTCCATCACCTATTATGCTGTTTTTCTTCTCCCTCTTTTACTTTAAAAGTTCTTTTGCTTTCAAGATTTGGAAGCACTGCCAAAGACGGCCATGATGAAGGAAGGAGGGGCAGAGGGGACAAGAGAGGCAAAAGATAAGAGGTCATTACCTCAGTAACAGCTAGAGGCCACAAAAGAACACCTCACTGCATAGCCACAGTAAAGACATGGTTGCGATTGTTCGGCTTTTAAGTTGCAGTTATTGCCAATTTAAGCTAATGAGTGGTTTTGGAGCTTTCATCCACATTATTTTTGTTATACATCACAACTTTGCAACCTCTGCTCCAAAAGGAATGCCTAAGTTTTCTTAAAGTGAACTTAATTTCCGAGCTCTTGGTGATTCGTATATGTACATAGATTTTGTGCTCTCATTTCATGTTGCACCATACAGGACGGAACACTTGTATAAATGAAAGACTTTTATTTTCATATTAGTAAATGGTATCATTGCCCCATTACAGGTCTGTTAACCTCACAAACTTGTCATTCACTTTTAAAGAAAAAAAATATGTAAATATGTTATGCGTAACATGAAAATTTCTCTGTAAAGCAGGGCTTAAAACTTTTTGGAAAAGTTTATCACGTCAATTCATATTTACCTCAATGTCAACAATTATGTTCAGATAGAAAAAAAGACTTTTCATTTAGGTAGAAAAAGATTCCCTTAAGATTTATGTAGTTTTAGATTTAAGAAAAAACTAGAATTCTGTTTAACTAAAAGTGATTGGGAAAATTACTTCTTTGGTTTAATTATTGATGATTGCACTGTCATTCTCTTCTCCTTGTGTGTTGATCTGTGTCCAGAATCAGGTTTATTTAGATCCTGAACAGTGTAATAAGAATCTGATTGGTATTTGTCGTTGTTATTTAAAAACCATCTGCACACTTCACAGCTATTAATGGGGATTGGTTTGACCAATAACCACTGCTTAATCCTTACAATTAAATTTTATGACTAATGGAATTATTCATTCAAATACGTAATGTGTTTCTTTGACTATGGGGGGGAGGGGCAATCTTTTATCTGCTCTCAGTTAACATATTGAATAAAGCCAAGGTCTATAAATCAAGAAGCACTCCAACAGAAAACTGCCTTTAGTACCTTTTCCATTTTATTGTCAAACAGGACTTTCCTTTCTATGATTTCTCATGAGGTTCATTTTATACATTACTAGTCTTTTGTTCATATGAACTGGCCGAAACGATAATGTTTATGAGCAACAACTACAACCCATGTACTAGAGAAGATAGAATTAGAAGGCATTTTCAGAGGCTAGGGGAGAAAATATGAGATTCAGTTAGGCTTTCTGTAATAGAACTGCTCCATGACAAAAGGAGTAGGTGATGGCAAATGTGTAAAAGGGCATAAAACACTGCAGATTATGTTTTATCTAAATTTCCTTCCTAAAAGCATTTTTCTTAAATTTAACTTTGTTATGGTGAAAGGCAGTAGTTCTAACACTACCAGTACGCATCCCTTTAGTGTAATTGGCGGGAAATGTGAGCTGAGGCACCAAATCATCTACATTTACACTCTAACTCTGCCACTTGCCGACTGAGTGACTAATCCCATTTCTGTGCCTAGTTTCCTTGTTTGTAAGTGGAGTTTCCTCCCCTATAGAGTTGTTGCAAAGACTCACTGTGGTGATGCACATAAAGCACTTTGGGCAATGCCCAGGAAATGTAAGAGCTTAATGATAGTAGCTGTTCTCTTGAGAGTGGAGTTCTCTTGAGGTTAAGGATCCATTTGTGAATTTGATGGAAAATAACACACCCTGTCTCTCAAAATAGACATAAAAACATATATGGAGAATATGTATGTGTCTAAAGAGACGAAAGAGAGAGGAAATAGTGAATCATGCAGAAATGGGTCTCGAAGGCCCATCCATGGATCACAGGTTACAAAGACTTTGAAAGGGTCTACTGCTAAAAATTGAGCCTGATAATGCATTAGAAATAAAAGCTGTGACTTAAAGCCTTACTGAATTTCTCCTGTAACAATCTAGAAACTTATTTCCATTACTTTTGAAAGATAGTAACGGAAGTGATTAACACAGCAGTGGTGTCTGGTGACCTGGGTTCAAATTTTGGTTCATTCATTTTCTAGTTGTGTAACTCAGTATAATTCTACCCTCCAAGTGAGGAGTTAAAAAACAGTCTCACCCACTAGACTAATTTTTTTTAAATAGTAAGCTCCTTCAAGTTTCCAGTCTTATGAGAGTGATCTGTGTATGTGCCCATTTTTTTCTTCCAAGTTTTAATTCATTCTATCACACTTCAATTCTGGATCTTTACATGACATATAAATTATGAATCTCCCCTTAACCTGCTACTTCCCAAATACCCTATAACAGATTGCATTTAGAATTGATTTTTTAAATTTTTAAAAAAAGATTTTATTTTTATTTATGCATACAAGAACTGGGGTACAGGCCAGAAGTGTGAGGGGGGTGGTGAGAGGATTCACCAGAGACAGAGCGGGAAGCAGAACAGGCAGATCTACTGAAATACAGCAGGTGAGTCAGAAGAGGTCTGCTGCGCCATGCGGGTCACCTCCCTGGCCAGGGATTGAACTCGTGCTGTAGTGGCTGCTGATCTCCCCATAGTGCTGACGCTTAACCCCCTGCACCACCAGGGAGGCCCCTAGAATTGATTTTTTTTAAAGATTTATTTATTCATGCATACTAGAGCTGGGGTACAGGCCAGAGATGCAGGGGGTGAGAGGATCCACCAGAGACAGAGTGAGGAACAGAACAGGCAGATCAACCAAAGTACACTGCCGGGGGGGGAGCAGTGGGCCAGTCAGAAGTCTGCTGTGCCGTGTGGGTTGCTCCCTGGCCGGCCAGGGATCAAACTCGTGCTGCAGAGGCTGCAATTTGCTTCATAGTGTGGTGCTTAACCCCTTGTGCCACCAGGGAGGCCCTAGAATTGATTTTTTTTTTTTGTGGGACCCTCGCTAGCGGCCAGGGAACGAACCAGCGCTGTAGAGGCTGCAGGCAGCCTCGCAGCCCAGCGCTCAACCACTATGCCACCAGGGGAGGCCCCCAGAATTGATTTTTTAAATGCTATTTTCTTTAGGTCACTCTCTTACTAAAATTCTAACTTAGCCCTTATTCCAGATACAGTCCTCATCAGATTTATATTTCTCAGATTGATTCCTAAGTTCCTTATTCTCTAGTCAATTGTTTTTCATCTTTCTGATGTGTCTGCTCTAAGCCTTTTGATTTCTGTACAATTTGCACAATTCTTTTTTTTTAAAGATTTATTTATGCATACAAGAACTGGGGTACAGGCCAGAGGTGTGGGGGGCGGGGTGAGAAGATTCACCAGAGACAGAGTAGATAACAGAACAGGATGACTGACTGAAATACACTGCTGAGGAGAGCAATGGGCAAGACAGGAGAGGTCGGGGATCAAACTCATGTGCAGTGGCTATGTATAGTTTCATAGTGTTGAGACTTAACCCCTTGCGCCACCAGGGAGGCTCCAACCTGCACAATTCTATTTTAATGTCTTACAAATGAAATAAATGGCACCATTTATCGAGTGCTTACTCTGTCACATCACTATACTAAATGCTTTTATGGATCTTTTCACCATATCCTCATAATATGTCTGAGAGCTAAGAGGTTATTTCCCATGTTTACAGATAAGAGTAGATTGCTCAAATTCATAATGCTAGTAAGTGATGGACTTTGAATTCATGCTATGGGACTCCAAGGCCCATGACTTTACTCAATATACTGTGACTTCCAACCAAGCTCTAAAAGAATACAGTGACTTTGGGCTGGTGACCAAACTAGAATTGGCATCTCTAGCACAAATCAACCTACTTTGTTAGCTCATATTTAAGTTTAAATACTGGATGAACTATAACTTTGGACATAGTTACTTTGAATAGTCCCTGCCTTCAAATAGATCAGTCTACGAAGAGACAAAGAATATGAGAAGTGTTTTTGTAGGAGACAGGGGTGCAGTTAATTCAGCTTGGGCTCAAAAGGGGCTTAGAGAAGGAGCACGTTGGTAAGAGGGCATTCCTGACTGAGCAAACAAGGTAAAGGCAGTTAAAAGAGAGGCATTGCACTGTGGGTCTGAAGAACAGAATATGGTATAACTGAGCAGGCAAATTAGAGTGCAATGAGGCTTGGACCAAGGTATGAAAGGTAGTATTCACTGATTCATAGGGCTGGGAATTTTTTAAACACCAATTAATAATTAAATGGCTAGGACATTTATGTAAGTTCTGATTTACTAGATTGCAAGTACTGATAAATATTTAGAGAAATGTTCATTATTCAGTAGATCAATATGATTAAACATTAAAAAAGTTAATTAAAAACAGAACTTAATTGATAATGATAAACTGGCATCCTGGTTTGAGAAATTCCCAAAAATGATAGAACATAACATGGGAAAAAGAGAACACCTAAACCCAGAGCGAACGTTAAGGAAATCTTCATTTAAATACTAGGTTCTGGTGACCTCTTGATTTAATGCCTAAACTAGGATTGTAAAAGGAGAGCTGTAAATACATAGTAAATAACAGCTTTTTGGATAAGACAAAACCTCATAAAACGACAATGGTAGCTTTCTAAATGTCCATGTCAGTTATAATTTGAAGTAATCTACCTTTGTACCTTCAGTTTCTCTTACTACAAAATATTTATCAGTCACCTGAAGATACTTCCCTACTCAGCCCGAACAAGAACATGAGACATTTAAATCAGTTTACTTTCAAACAAGGGGGCATTTACAGGCTAACATTCTCCTATCCTCTTCTTTAAAAGATTAACCTTTCTTCCAGCCAGATTTCATTAAAAATACTTTATTTAGTATATTCTCCCACTCAGAGAATAAACTTGTTAAACAAAGCTTTTTGATAGGTAATTTGACCAGTAATTATAAATACAAAAAAGAAAAAGATTATCAGAAATAAGACATTATTTCTAATGAAGCTTCAGGAAAAATCTTGATTATTAAAAATCTTGTATCTTACAAGTTTTGCATATACGGTTTTAGCTCTTCAGAGCCCTCTACCAATAAGGCACCTGCAATAGTTAAGAGTTTGCTACTGCAGCCTTGGGGAACATTTCTTAGTGTTGTGTTGGTATTTCTCTGACAAAGTACTTCTAATCAAGACAGTGACTTATGTACATCCTAACTTCCAAATAAAAACTGCAATTGAACTGATGGACTAGAATAAAATCATAAACCCTTAAGATTAACCATAGCAGCCTCTCAGGAATTATTTAAATTTCATGAAAATATGAAATGTTAACAGAGGTGGAATGGCAGCCAACTTAATGAAAGCTCACACGCTGAAACCATGAAATTTCAAGCTGTTGTAGAGCTATTCTGTAGTAGAGCGGGCAGCATCCCCTCTATAAATAGCAACTAGCTCCTGGTTTCCTAAAGTCAAACTAATGATGATTTTGAAGATCAACACTGTCCATTACCCTGTCCGTGACTCAAAATGAAGGACTCTTCCTGTCTGAAATAGATAATCTCCTGGGTGTCATCTTACTGCAGATACCCTTGACAGCAACAGGAACGAGTGATTCCGTCAGATTGCAACAGGTCCAGGTCAGTGTCTTGTAAGGTTGCCATGCTCCTGGAGAGCATCACGCAAACTTCTTCTTGGTGGCGGTGAACCTCTCCATGTACTAAAAGTCATGAGAGAAGAATATCTCTGGTATTTTGGCATGAGCATTTAAATATTAGCCTATTTCTTACTTAGGTTTTGGGATGATTTTTTTCCTCAGGTTATTATTGGATAGATCTGGTGCTTCATTTCCCACAAAATCTAAATGTAAATTTAAAGCACACAGTTTTGGCGTTTTCAACTTTTCCCTTTTTATTTTAATAGGAGATCTAAATACAAAGATGCTTTACAGTAAGCTGCGTCTAGGAAAAAGCCATCCTGACCCAATCCTGTCGGCTAATTCTTAGAACCCACCTTTCAAAACAGGGTACATATTCTATTAACATAAATAGGACTATACATGCATCCTGTAGCTGTAAATATTCATGTGGTTTCCTTTATCTTTCCCTTCTCAGGAACGGTGACTAGAAAAGCCTAAGTACTCTAATACATACCTTATCATAGCCTTCCAGTTCTCGAAGTTTCTTTATCTCAAATAGGTTGCCTTCCACAGCAAGCAGACAGATCTGGGAATCACTAAGGATGCTCTGTGGAAGCATGCTGAGCTCAAGGCAATTCTCTTCTAGGCGAAGAACTTTCAGGCGAGGACAGCAAGATATTTTTACTGAGATCTGAGATATCTTTGAACCACAACAACAGAAAAGAATAGGAGAATGCATGAGCACCATACTGGTTGTTTTCTTTACTAAATTAAAACAAAAAACTTTACTTATTTGTCCTAGTTCTCCTTTCTTTTTCTGCTTCCATTTTCTCACTACCTACTCATTCCAGAAGCATCTGTTATCTTGCTTCTGTTAACTACTCCTCCACTTTATTTTTAAAAAAAATTTCTGAAGGTCACCAGTAACTCTTTGGAAACAAAATGCTCTTGTAATAAAACATTGCTTATTATAGAAAATTCGAGAATCACACAAGTTTGAAGAAAAAGTTACCTGTCATCCACCACCATAAATATTTTGGTACATTTACTGCCAATCTTATGTCCCATATATGCCAATTGCTGCCAATACCAAGGATTCATTGTCCTTATTCCTTATTTCATTTGACTGTTCTGTCCATTCTATGAAATTACTACTACTTGTACCTAAGTACTAAGGTTTTTCTCCCTATATTTTTTGAATTTCTGATTTTTGTTTTCCCTTCTTGTTTCTGTGACTTTTTTTTTTTAAAGACTTATTTATTTTATGCATACAAGAACTGGGGTACAGGCCAGAGGTGCGGGAGGTGAGAGGATTTTCCAGAGACAGGGTGGGGAGCAGAACTGACAGACTGACTGGCCGGGGATTGAACTCATGCTGCAGAGGCTGCAAATAGCTTCATAGTACTGTGTTTAACCCCTTGTGCCACCCGGGAGGCCCTCCTATGGAAATTTTTTAAGCAGCACCCCCGAATATTATTTTCTATTAACACTCAATGTATTTTTTTAAGATTTATTTATTTATGCATACTAGAGCTGGAGTACAGGCCAGAGATGCAGGGGGTAAGAAGATTCACCAGAGACAGAGTGGGGAGCAGAACAGGCAGATGTACTGAAATACACTGCTGAGGGAAGCAGTGGATGAGACAGGAGAGGTCTGCTGCTCCATGTGGGTAGCTCCTTGGTTGGCTGGGGATGGAACTCATGCTGCAGGGGCTGTGGATGGCTTCATAGTGCTGTGCTTAACCCCTTGCACCACAAGGGAAGCTCCCACACTCAATGTATTTTCATATCTGTACACCTCTATTCCACACCTATAGCTCCGATTTTTAGTCAGACATTTCCACTTGGATGATTTGCCATTGTAACCCAGAATGTCATTCTTAGAAGCACCTGAGAATATCTGTTATTCTTCTTTTAGGCACTGAAGCTCAATACCAGGCAATTACCTTTGACTCATTCTCCTCTCTTACCCTTTAAATGTTCCATGTTACCAAGTTATATTTACTCTGCCTGGTATCCTCTCAGGCTATCACCTGGGAGCTTGACAAGACTATAAATTCGCAGAATCTACCCCAGACCTACAGAATCAAACAATGAGAATGGAGGCCCAGTGATTCCTAACAAGCATTCAGGATACTGTGTACACTAAAATAGAACTGATTAAAGCATCAGCGTAAGTCAATGTGGAGTGCCCAACTAACACTGTTGCTTTATTTTTTCCAAATACTTTTTTCCCAAGAAAGCTTAAGAGGGCCTCCCTGGTGGTGCAAGGGGTTAAGCACAGTGTTGTGAAGCTATCCGCAGCCTCTGCAGCATGAGTTGGATCCCCGGCCAGCTGGCCAGGGAGCTACCCACATGGCACAGCAGACCTATCCTGACTCGCCTGCTGCTCCACTCAGCAGTGTATTTCAGTCTGTCAGCCTGCCCTGTTCCCCACTGTCTCTGGTGAATCCTCTCACTGCCCCCCCATACCTCTGGCCTGTACCCCAGTTCCTGTATGCATAAATAAAAAAAGCTTAAAAAAAAAAAAGCTTAAGAACATACAAAAATATCCACTTTAATGGAAAGATAAGGTCAATTTCCTCAAAAGACCAACAGAATTTCATTATAATGTAAGGTTACTATAATCTATATAGTATGATTTTCTCCAGTGATTATTACTGTAATGATTGTAGTGTTTTATATCTGTGTTATCCAATATGAAGCCACTAGTCACATAAGGCTATTAAGCACTTGAAATATGGTTAATGGCAACTGAAGAACTGAATTTTTAAATCTAGATTAAATGAATTTTATTAGCCACATGTGGCTACTGGCTACTGTACTGGACTACAGATCTAGAAGCATAGATCTAGAAAAACAAGACGACCTCATCTGTTTTAATGTTTCATCATTTGTGCCTTATATCTAGAGCAAAGATTGTTTCTCTAGATACATATTAACTGAAGAGCTTCTGAAGTAAACAGTTCTCAAATACTATAATTAAAGTTGTCCAAGAATACACCCCACTGACTGGGAAAAAAATCTTTGTACTCCATACAACTGATAAGGGACTCATCACAAAGATATACAAATAATTCACATGACTCAACAAAAACAAAGTACACAATCCAGTCAGGAAATGGGCAGAAGAACTTAAAAGACATTTCTCCAAAGAGGAAATGCAAATGGCCAACAGGCATATCAAAAAATGTTCAACATCCCTTATCATCAGGGAAATGCAAATCAAAAACACATTGAGATACCACCTTACACCAGTAAGAATGGCACATATCAAAAAAAAAAAAACAAGCAACAACAAATGTTGGTGAGTATGTGGTGAAAAAGGAACTCTCTCACTCTGCTGGTGGGAGTGAAAACTGGTCCAACCACTAAGGAAAGCTGTCTAGAGGTTCCTCAGTCTACTAAAAATGGAGCTACCATATGACCCAGCAGTTCCACTCCTAGGGATCTACCCAAAGGACACAAAACATTGATTCAAAAGAACACCTGTACCCCTATGTTTATGCAGCACTATTTATAATAGGCAAAACCGGGAAACAACCCAAATGCCCAAAAATAGATGACTGGATCAAGAAGATGTGGTATAGATACACCATGGAATATTACTCAGCAATCAAAAAAGATAAACGCATGCCATTCGCAGTGTGAAAAAATAACAGTACAAAGCACAACAAAGCAAAAACAGACAATTATAAATCAGAGACATCCTGCAGGGGAGGAGGAGGGAGAGGGATCAGAGGGAGGGAGGGGAGGGAGGGAGGAGCACAGGGGACTGAGGTGATGGTGCACGGGTGCATGGGTGAAGGAAACTCTACGGGGACTACACCTGAGGGGGTGGGGGGAAGCAAATATTGTTTAAAAATGAACAATGGTGTAAAAAATTAAAAAAATAATTAAAAAAATAAGAAAATAAAGTTGTCCAAGAGTAAAATGGGCTATCTCTAGGAAGCCTATCAATAAGAATTTTTAGTAAAAGGACATACACTGGACAAAGATATCCAAAAAAAGGACAACTGAATTACTGCTGATGTCCAATTCTGAACCTAAGAATTTAAGCCTCTTTTCTATTCTATCTTCCTGACAGCTTTTTGCTAGATGATTAGAGAGGAGACTCAAAGAACTCTTCAAGATTTATGAGGCAGTAGTTTAATTTTTGATAATATCTTACCCTGCTATTCATTATCACCCTCCAAAAAACACCTACACAACAAACACCAAGTGTCTCAACTAACTCCATGGCATTTTGGGCTTTAAAATTAAGCCAGCCGGGCCTCCCCGGTGGCGCAGCGGTTGAGCGCTGAGTTGCGAAGCTGCCAGCAGCCTCTGAGACGCCGGTTCGATCCCCGGCTGCTCCCCGGCCACTGGAGGAGGGTTCCACATGGCGCGCAGACCTCTCGTGCTGACCGCTGCTCCCCTCACCAGTGTACTTCGGTCCTTCTGCCTGCTCTGCTCCCTGCTCTGGCTCTGGTGAATTCTCTCACCCTCCCGTGCTTCTGACTGTACCCAGTGCTTGTATAAATAAATAATCTTTAAAAAAATAAATAAATAAAATTAAGCCAGCCCATAGAATGTACCTCTCATCTGGCTTTATACACCTAGTTCTAGGATTACAGTTTTAGGAACAAGGGGTATATGTATAGGAAAAACTCCTTAAGCTCTAGACCTGATTCTGGTTGAGATTGAGTTCGATGATCTGCAGGTCCCCCACTATATCGGGTATGCTTCGAATCTGGTTTTTGGAGAGATCCACCACATCCAGGTGCCGTAGGCTACAAAGTTGGGGTGGTAGGGCTCCCAGTTGGTTCCCAGAGAGGCTCAGGGTCTTGAGGGCAGAAAGCTGCCCAAAGGTAGATGGCAGCTCTCTCAAGTGATTGTTGTTTAAGCTTAGCGTTTCTAGTTTTTTCAGATTGCACAACTCATCAGGAAGAACAGCTAGCAAAAAATAAATAAATAAATAAACAAACAAATAAATAATAAGGCATTTATGTGTATAAGTGGTTCCTTTTGTAAAGGGGTCTCAGCACAATGGGACAGCAAATTTTCTGCTATTGGAAGGCTCGTCCCTTCTCATTCCATCCCTCCCTCCCAAATTAGCAACGAAACCTGTTTTGTTTACATCCCAGAGACATCTTCCCTTTCATGTCCAAATTAACCCAGCACCAATCATTTAACACGAGAGGAGGCTTGCAAATGTAATTAGGAAAGGTAGAAAGCTTCAAGAACTCTGACATTCTCCTGCGTCTTGAGCTCTCTGAACGGTTTCATAACCATAAAAACCAGCTTGAGCGAGAAAACCACCCTTAACTGCGAGATCACTAGCGAAAGCTTCCCAGGCGCAAAAGCCATACTCAGTTTGTTGTTGTTCAAGGAGAGGCTCTTCAGCAGAGTGAACTTCCCTATAATCATAGGGGGCAGGCTCTCGATCTTGTTGCTGGACAAATCGATGGTCCTGAGATTGCTCGTCAGCTTCTGCAACTCTGAGGGAAACTGGAGAAAGAGGTTCACAGCGCGGGGAATCCCTCACCGATTAACTTCACCGTCCCCGCTGTCCCTAACCCTTTAAATTCCCTGGTTGGGTCCCTCCCAGCCTCACCTCGGTCAGTCCACGGTCCTTAAGCTGAAAGACACCAGTTTTCTGAGCCGTTTCTACATGGGCGCGGAGGGCACTGTTTCCCATCCTTGCGCCGCGGTTAAGGTTCCTGCGGAAAGGAAGCGCAACTGTCACCCCTAATCCAGGCACCCAGCCACCCCGTCGGTGTCCCTGCTGGATCTCATGCCCCAGTTTCACCTTCTGCAGATCCCAGGATCTTAGGGGCAGCCCAAGAGTGGCAAGGAAGTAAGGGAAGGACAGCAAACCAACCACCAGGCCCTGCCGCTTTGCGGTTGTTCGCAGAGTAGATGCCCCCGGGAGCCTATCGGGGGCTTGAGCTTACTCGACTGCTCCTACCCTTGAGCTCACTCGACTGCTCAGAAAGGGAAGCCCCAGCCCTGGTGCTCGCCGGGGATGCGCTCCCCGGGCTTCCGCCTAGGAGGAAACGCCCTGTGACGTCATCGGTCCGCGCGGCGCGTTCGCTCGTGTCCCACTCTGCGCGCCGGCGGGGTCGGCGCCTCCCGCCATGGCCGCCGCCAACCCCTGGGATCCGGCGTCCGAGCCCAACGCTGCCGGGCTGCTGCTGGGCCATTTCGTAGCTTCGGGAACGGTCACTGAGGTGCGCGGGCGGTGATGGCGTCATGAAGGGGGGGCGGGCGTGGCGACAGAAGGTAGCTGTGAGGTGGGAGTGCTGATGGCTTGTCCTAGATAGAGTAAGCGGAGCCCCTGACAGGCTGCAGCAGTGACCTTTCTGCGAAAGCAGGGCTTGGAGAAGATGGTGTTTCAAGTAGTGTTTCTCGTGTCTGCAGGCGGGTTATCCCAGGTCAGTTCGTGGGAGATAATGTAGAACAGTGTTCCCCGACCCCACCCCCTTTTTTGGTCCTGTGATGCCGCCTCTAGATTGTAATGGGTGGAGGGGCTGGGAAATACGGGTAGGTGGTCCACACGCACGTTCCGAACAACATCGCCCCTTTGTGTGAGGTATCGAAGCATATTGGGGTCGGAGGGGGTTCGGGAGAGCTCCAGGGGAAGTATCTTTAAAAAAAAAAAAATCTACAAAAGTACTGGTGAAAAAGATCTGAAGGACTTTGGGACTTGGGTGGAGTGGAGAAAGAGATTGATTTTGAGTAGGAAAGGAGAGATTATTCCATCGGGTTTTGGGTTGGGCTGTAGTTTTAGATTGGGCAAAGAAGAGTTTATTCATAGTCCAAAGAGAAAGCTAGAGAGAGAAACTGAAGATGTAGGAAATAATAGGGTAGACGTGACAAGGGTGGGGAACGTGGGGTGGAGGGAGGGAAATAAATTTTGAGATACAGAAGAAGTTTGATTTTACTAAAAAGGAAACTGTAAAGTAGAAAGGTAAAATCATCTGCCGAGATTAGCAGTATGCACATGGAGGATTAATGGAAAATACGTAATTTTTTTATATTTAGAAGAGTCATTAGACAATTCAGTTACTTTACAGTAATTATAAGATGAAGAAATGAAAGCCTAAGGAGACCAAGAAACTAACTGGGTCACTCAACTAATGAAGTAAAATTAGAGCCTGAAGGCTCCCTTTTCTGTCACACTGTATCATCTCTAAGATGAACCTCATAACGATATTGTTGCAATATCTTGAAAGAGTTTCAGCTTCTTTTGCAGAACGCTCCTAGATAAATTGGATACCTAGTAACCACATGTTCCAGATTGGGGGACTGGATGGCGGTGAGGGGTAGTAATGAGTCCATGGGAAAATAAAACAACCACAGCACTTCTCACTCCTCACCATCCTCACTTCTCTGACGTTTTCTTATGTTGCCTAGTACTTTCACTTGTCCAATTATGCAACGAAGTAATTTGGTAAATTCATACTATAAAACATTTGGGATTAATTCTTTTAGAGGCTATTGGTAGGAGATAAACACCTAAACCAGAGTCTCCAGTGAGAACATTTTAGGCAGATAGGTAATCTGTTTGGTAGTTGTTTGGGGGAAGAATCTTCCTAGTGTCCTTCAACCAATTAGACAACTTTTACTTGTTTTTCCTACAGGTAAAATCTGCCACTCTATAGCACCTTAACATCCCCCCACCCCCCTACCCTCAACCCCTCCAATCTTGTGGCACAGCTAGTTCCAGTGAAGAAATTTTACAGATTTATAGCATGATTTTTCTTTCAGCAAACTTTACATATGAAAACCTATTTTTTAGAAATATTTACCATTTATCCTTTGTTATTTACCATTTATTTTTCTTTCAGCAAACTTTACATATGAAAACCTATTTTTTTAGAAATATTTACCATTTATCCCCTTTTGTTATTCTTTCAGTGCCAAATTATTCCACATGCATTAAAAATTAAAAGTGATGCCTAAAATTATACAACTTTGTATATAGCCTTTTGAACTTTGTTCTGTTTTGATCTGCTTATTGAAGAAGATTTGGGGAAAGAAAGGTATGGTTAACTATCTGTAGGATAATAGAGAGGTATTTTAGTTTATGTCCTGGGACTGCTCTAACTTGTCTTATATCCTAGATATTTTTCTGGCAAGCTTGAGTGAATCATGGCATCTTGATGAAAGCTCCCTCTACTGACAATGGGTAAAATAAGGGTGGGACCTACCAAAACAACTCAACTTCTATTATTTTCACTTTTACTATTATTTTCACTATTATTACCTCTGCCCTGTCCTCTTCTTCACACCCTTCCCCATTTCAGAGCCTTTGCTCTTTACTCTTCTGCTATATTGCCTCCCTTTTAATGTTCCCCAGCTGCAATGAGAACAGAAAAAAAAAAAAAAAAAAAAAAAGGATGCCTACAGATGCAAGTACATATATACACACAAGTGAGAGAGAGAGAAAACAATGCTATAAAATTTTTTATATTAAGTATAGTGATTCTGGATTTCTAGCTTCTTTTTTAGCGACAAAGTAAACAGAAATACTCTACACAAACTCTCTTAGGACCCTTTCATTTTTAGAGTCCCTTTGCCCCCAGTGACATGTAAAGTATGGAATATGTAAAAGTAACTAGACTTTTCAAGATTCCCCATTTCTTGCTTTTTTTTTTTTTTAAAAAGGTATGGGTTAAGTCAAAATACTCAAATAGTTAGGATTCATCTCCTAGAGGAATTTGGCTGCTCTTTCTTTCCATTCTCCTTTTTGACTCACCCTTTCTTGAACGTTCTCTTTTCCCTTTGGTTTCTTTTGCCTGTTCTTGGCTGTGCTTCATCACCCTCTTGTTAAACCCAACAACCTGGAGAGATGGAGCGATAATAGCGAGTGAGTGGGTTACAATGAGAAATTAGATATGTTTTCACTTTATTTACCTTCTTCCTAAAAGAGAGCAGAAAGAAAAGTGAAAGTCAGACTGATGGAAACATAAGATATTCACTGTTTCTCATTTCAGCCCTAATACACAGTGTAAAGTTGAAATAATACTTAAGCTCTCTGTTCTCAATTTTGTCATCAGTAAAATATCTTGTATTAACTACTTTAGTGAATGGCATAACTATCTGTCCAGTCACCTGAAGCAGAATCTTTGGAGTCAGTATTGACTTGCCTTTATCCCTCACTCCCCATACCATTTAGGATTTATCAGTTTCATCTTCCCAAGGATTCATGTATCTGTCTTTTTCTGTTTTTTGTTGTTGGCTAGTTATCACAGTGGGGTGGTTTTTTTTATTATTGTGTAAAATACACATAACATAAAGTTTGCCATTTTAACCATATTAAAGTTTACAAATTCAGTGACATGAAGTATATTCACAATGTTGTGAAACTATTTTCAAAATATTATCCCCAGTGGAAACCCCACCCTATTAAGCAATAACTCCCTATTCCTTCCTTCCCCTAACCCCATTAGTTGTATTTTCCATGCTACCCCTGTTTAAATGTCTATGTATTATTTATGATCATGTTACTTCTTCAACAGGAAACTGTCAGTTGCTCTCATTTTTGGCATTATGATTGTTTATCATAACAGTAAAGATTTTCCATGATTATGCTGGCAACTAGATTTCCACCTTCATCTTCCACCTTGTTAGTTGGGGGAACACATTTATTTGTGCTGACAGTTATTGAGCATTTGTAACATTTAATTCTTTCTATTTTGAATACCTTTTTCTTCAGTCCATCATGAGCTTGCTAACAGCAGAGAGCTTGTTTCCTTCATTTTTTGTATCTTACATTGCCTACTCAGCAAATGTTTATAAAATTGATAGTCAGTAAACTTTTGCTATGAAGGACCAGAGAGTAAATATGTGAGGTATTTTTAGTCCATAGGCTGTTATGGTATAAAGGCAGCCAGAGATAGTATGTAAATGAATAAAGAAGTTGAGTTTCAAGAACTTTATTCTGGACCCTGAAATTTGAATTTCATGTAATTTTTATATGTCAAAAACCAATATGTCCCCCCAACAATTAAAAAATATAAAAATAATTGTTAGTTCATAGGCTATACAGAAGCAGGAGGTAGGCTACATTTAGTTCATGGGCTTTAGTTTCTTAACCCCTGCCCTAGGTGATCTCTAAAGTTCTTTCCTGTGCTAATATTCTAGAAAAGAAGAAGAGTATACAGAAAATTAGAGATTCAGTCAAGGGGTAAACAATGCTTTTACTCTGATATAACCTAAAACTGAAGGAAGCAATATAATGGAGCATAATAGAATGAAAGGATAAGAAGGAAGGGGTTGTCTTTTAGAATAATTCTGTCTGGACAAAACATTCCTTTATTTCAGAGAGTGAGAATGTAAAAATAGACAGTATGTATGACTTGTAGACAATAATAGAGAGCATTTAACAAATCATGTAAGTGATTCCGTGAGAGTGGGGCTGAGGGTTTTGATTTTAGCCTCGGGAAGGTTAGAGAGACTAGGTCCTGGTCATTTATGTACAAGTGATTCTCTAGCAATATTAGCCTTAGAATCCTTTGATGAACTATCAGTAATGTAAGTTTATTATGTATTATACTTTAGGTTTTTTTTTTTTTTTTTTTTTTTTTTTTTATAGAGGCATGCTTTATTTATTTGTTTGCTGGTTTGTTTGTTTTGTTTATACATGCACTGGGTACAGTCAGAAGCGCGGGAGGGTGAGAGAATTCACCAGAGCCAGAGCGGGGAGCAGAGCAGGCAGAAGGACCGAAGTACACTGCTGAGGGGAGCAGCGGGCGGCAGGAGAAGTCTGCACGCCATGTGGGACCCTCCTCCGGTGGCCGGGGAGCAGCCGGGGATCGAACCGGCGCCGCAGAGGCCGCGGGCAGCTTCGCAACCCAGCGCTCAACCGCTGCGCCACCGGGGAGGCCCTACTTTAGGTTTTAAAAACAGGAAATATACATTACTTCTGTTCTCTGTAATTTTTTTTGGGGGGGGCAGTGTTGGGCCTAAATAGCCTTATATTTTAGACCTGTGAACATGCCATTCCAATGCACAAGGAAACTTCTGTAACATATTGCTGTGCTCTCTATTCACTTACCAATAGGAAATGTTAAATATAGCTAAGAATTCAGCTTCTTGCTTTGAGAACTTCTCCAGAGGACAGCAGATCACAGATATTCAAGCTGAAATCAACCAGGTAATTTATGTTGGACTTTTTGCTTTCTACTTCTAGTACAGGGAAAAAAGCCTTAATTGGTTCCAACTGCAATTCTCTTGTATTTAAAATAGAGTCCAGCACATAGCTGTTTATTTTTTAATTTTAGTAGTTAATAGTGGTAATAATAATAATAATGATGGTAATAGTAGTAGCAACAGTAGCAGCAACAGGACTTGAACACCAAAATGAAAAGCTTCAGTAAATCCTCTGGCTTCCTAACAAATCATTCTCTTATAGCCCCTAAATATTCTTGGGCTTAAAGACTATGCAGTTTCATCAAAGTTTAAGCCTTTAAGTCAGGCTACTTTCTGACTGAGCTACACATTACTTTTGTTCCTAATGTAGAAAAACCTGGAAATTGAACTCCTACAACTAGAAAAAGATACAGCAGATGTTGTTCATCCTTTCTTTTTGGGTAAGTGATTTGGTTAAGTACACGATCATCAGAATTTCAACTTTTTTGGGAGGTTACCTTAGTAAGCACCAGACAGTCCTGTTGACTCAACTAGTACAAACAGCACAGAAAATGACCAAGTTGGGTACCCCTCAAAGTCAGGAAAGCAGGCCTCCCTGGTGGTGCAAGGGGTTAAGACACAGCCTATGAAGCTATCCATAGCCACTGCAGCACAAGTTCAATCCCCAGCCAGGGAGATACCCACATGGCACAGCAGACCTCCCCTGGCTCACCCGCTGCTCCTTTCAGCAGATGTATTTCAGTACATCTTGCCTGTTCTATTCCCCACTCTGTCTCTGGTGAATCCTCTCATCCCCCAACACCTCTGGCTTGTACCCTAGGTCTTGCATGCATAAATAAATAAATCTTCAAAAAAAGAAGAGTCAGGAAAGCTTGAAAGACAATGAAAAGCTTTGGATTTTCCAGATTAAAAGGATACTAAAAGGACATGATAGTTAAAGCACAGTGTGGTCATAGGTTGAATATTTTATTAGAAAACAAATTTTTTTTCTGTAAAGAATTATTGGAACACTTGATGATGTTTAAATATGGATTGTTTTAAATGTTAGTAGTATTTTACCAGTGTTAAATATTTTAGATACTTATAGTTATATAAAAGAATATTATTATTCTTGGGAAATACATGCAGAAGTTAGGGGTGAAAGGCCATGATATCTGCAACTTAATGTCAAGAGGGTCAAAAAAAAATACTATGTTTGTGTGTGTGTGTGTGTGTGTATACATACACATACATGCATCCATGGAAAGATATGCAGAGAAAGAGGAAATTGTAGCCAGATGTTAACAATTGGTGAAATGTATAGGGGCATTCAGTAAACTATTCTTGAAACTTTTCTGTAAGTTTGATGTATTTTCAAAATAAGAATTTAGAAGAAGAGGGCTTCCCTGGTGGTGCAAGGGGTTAAGTCTCAGCACTGTGAAGCTGTCAGCAGCCACTGCAGCATAAGTTCAATCCCCAACCAGGTAGCTGACCTACATGGTGGAGGAGACCTCTCCTGACTCGCCTGCTGCTCTCCTCAGCAGTGTATTTCAGACAATCTGCCTGTTCTGTTCTCTACTCTGTCTCTGGTGAATTCTCTCACCCCCTGCACCTCTGGCCTGTATCCCAGTTCTCGTATGCATAAATAAATAAATCTTTAAAAAAAAAAGAATTTAGGGCCTCCGCTGGTAGCACAGTGTTTGAGTACTGGGCTGCGAAACTGCCCGCAGCCTCTGCAGCGCCGGTTCCATCCTGGCCGCTGGCGAAGGTCCCACATGGTGCAACAGACTTCTCCTGCCTCCTGCCGCTCCCCTCAGCAGTATATTTCGTCAAGTCTGCCTGTTCTGTTCCCCTCTGTCTCTGGTGAATTATCTCACCTTCCCGCACTTCTGACTACCCAGTGCTTGTATAAATAAATAAATAAATCTTTTAAAAAAAAGAATTTAGAAGCAGAGATAGCTGCTTCCATTAATTGAATTATGGAGAAAATATTGAGAAAATAAAAAATAGTTTATAAGACAAAGGTGGCTTTTAGTGTTCAATGTAGAATATCAGTGGCAAAAATGAGAAGAGACACTATGTGAAGAATATAACTCTGGCTATAAAAACTGAATTAGGAGTTGAGTTGAAAAAAACTTAGAAATAATTTAGCACTGGATTTGGTTGTTAGTTGAAAAGTAAGAGAAAATAGTTAAAAGTAAAACTGATACTGCTATTAAAGATAGCAAAGGGAAGCTGTTTGGAGGGAATTGGTAGGATTGATTTTTGACATTGATCTTATCAAACCAAAGCAAAGAAGAAACCTTTAATAATTTCAAAACTTACTTGTCCTATTTCTTTTTTTTTTAAGATTTATTTATTTATTTATACAAGAACCGGGGTACAGGCCAGATTCGCGGGAGGGTGAGAGGATTCACCAGAGACAGAGCGGGAAACAGAATAGGCAGATTGACAAAACAGCAGTGGGCGAGACAGGAGAGGTCTGCCACGCCACGTGGGACCTTTGCCAGCCGGCTGGGATCTAACCAGCCGGGATCAAACCATCGCTGCTGAGGCTGCGGACAGCTTCACAGTGCAGCGCTCAACAGCCTGTGCCACCAGGGGAGGCCCTACTTGTCCTATTTCTAACTGTAATTATTGTTTCTGGTTTGGTAGCTCAGAAGTGTCAAATTCTGCAAAGCATGAATGCTCATTTGGAAGCGGTGCTAAAAGAGAAGCGGACCCTAAGGCAAAGACTGTTGAAACCCATGTGCCAGGAAAACTTGCCTATTGAAGCTGTCTATCACAGGTTAGACTAAAAAGTAGAGATTGTTACATATCTTTTCTACAGGTAATTTTGTTTAGACAGTAGTTATTTTATAGTATAAATCATAAAGCAATGCTCTAGTGATTGTATATGTTAACATTATTACTAGTTATGATATATCAAACTAGAAAGAAAATCCTTTGCTTTTTTAAAAAAAAATTTATTTATATATATTTTATGTCATTTTTCATTTTTTTTTTACAATGTTTGCTTTCTTTTCTCAGGTGTAGCTCCCATAGAATTCCTACCACCAGTTCACCCATGCACCATCACCATGGTCCCTGTGCTCTTCCCACCCTTGTTTTGATTCCTCTCCCTCCCCCACCCCTGCAGAATGTCTCTGATTTATAGTTGTCTGTTTATTTTTGTTTTGTTTTGTTGTTTTTTTTATTTTTTTCCCCCATGATTCCTTGTTTGGTTCCCCTATATTCCTCCTATAAGTAAAACCATCCGATAGAAAATCCTTTGTTTTTAAAGAGTTATAAGCTGTGGCAAAGAGAAGAGTTCCTTTCACCTATTGTTTTGGGAATTACACATTATGACTTTAATGAAAGAAATTAGATCTGTAATATAAAGTTAGGTGGTTAAAGATCATTTTTGATATGTATAGATTGTCTTCTATGAAGGAAATTTATTGTTGCATTAATGTTGCCTATATACCAAAATTCTGTTGGGGAGTTAAGCGGGGGCAGATGAAAAAAATGTGAACTGAAGGAGAGAAAATAACTTGAGTTCTGGTCTCATCTCTGCCGTTTATATGTCTCAAAGCCTTGGGCAAATGATTTCAATTTTTGCATAGGTTTCCCATTTCATACAATGGGGATACTTTCTATTGCTCGCTTCCTCATAGGAGTATTACAAGTTATCAAATTGAAAATGGAGTTTATTAATATTAAATAGTAATAAAATAAGGAATCAGGCATTTGGGAATCTGATCGCTAACTTTCTCCACCAGTGCCTTACTAGCTGACCTTTGCTTAATGTCATATTTTGTTATCTTGTAGTAAATTAATGGATATTAAAAATCTCATTCTTGTGTATCTTAGAATCTATTCAGTACAGTACAATACCATTAATGTGTATATTATATATTTCATACACACACAAACACATACACACACATACATACACACACCAGAAGAACTGAGTAGTGATTGTAAAGCATTTTGCAAATGCACAGATTCAAAATAGTTGTAAGTATATAGGCTTTTCAGTGAGGTACATGATACTTATTGCCTTCACTCTCCACCAACAATGAATAGATTGAATTGGAATGAGGTTTTAACTAGAAAAATGCCTTTATATCTGTGAGAGAATTGTTGACATTGAGGTTTGTCTAACATTAGTTTGGGTTCCAGGTAAGAGCAGCACCATCTCTGTTTCCATGACAGGTTAAGTCTTGCTAAAAGTAAGACTTTTACTCTTGCAGGCATATGGTGCATTTGCTGGAGTTGGCAGTGACTTTCATTGAGAGATTAGAAACCCATCTTGAAACAATTAGAAATATCCCTCACTTGGATGCAAATCTAAAGAAAATGGTAAGTGTAACAATAGTATGTAAAAGTACCTCATCATTGCCTACCACATTATTTAGCTGTCTTTAGTTCTTTTATGTAAGAATCTCATGTGTAATCTCCTTGTTTAACTCTTTGATAGCTAATATTATGAACTAATTTTTTTTTTAAAGATTTATTTATTTATTTATACAAGCACTGGGTACAGTCAGAAGCGCAGGAGGGTGAGAGAATTCACCAGAGCCAGAGCGGGGAGCAGAGCAGGCAGAAGGACCGAAGTACACTGCTGAGGGGAGCAGCGGGCGGCAGGAGAGGTCTGCGCACCATGTGGGACCCTCCTCTGGTGGCCGGGGAGCAGCCGGGGATCTAACTGGCGCTGCAAAGGCTGAGGGCAGCTTCGCAACCCCGTGCTCAACCACTGCGTCACCGGGGAGGCCCTGAACTAATTTTTTTTAATCAAGATGCCCTTTTATACTATGTTTAGAAGTCACTTTATAGTCATCATGTAAGGGACTATACTATAGTTATCATGAGAGAGAAACAGATGATCAGATTAGTCTCTCTCTTCAGATTTTCAGGGTTTATTGAGAGAGTAGTATTTTATTTGCACAATGAGTACAGCAGAAAATTAGAAAGAAGATGCTATCTACTAAGCATATTTCGGGTTAACTTTTACTCCTTATTTTAAGGAAACTTAACTTTCAGGTCTACTTTTACTCCTTATTGTAAGGAAACTTAATTTCCAGGTCTATTTTTGCTCTTATTGTAAGGAAACTAAACTTTCAGGGCTACTTTTTGTTCTTTATTGTACGGAAACTAAAGTTTTATAAAAAGGTATCTTTAAAAAAGAAATTTCCTGTGCTTAAATGACTTGCTCGACTTTAGTTTAATATCAGTACTGTACTCATGTAAAAAACCAAACATTAATTTCTTTTTCATCTGCCAAAAGACTCCACAGCATTCTAAAACTGCCTTTACTAATTTTAATAACAAAGACTGTTTAGGTAATATAATAATCTTGTTAACTCTGTACTCTCAGGCTTGGTTAACTGAGAAATCTTATTCTGTCAGTATTGCCATGTCTTGTCAATGCAGCAAGCACAAAGGGATTAATTACTACACTTTCAGGAGTTTATAAGTAGGAGGGGGGTAAGAATACTGAAGTTTTATATAGAAGTTAGTAATGAGCTGAATCTTGAAGAACAGTGAAATTTGACAAAGAATGCTTTGGCCAAAAGCAGCATGTGAGGAAAAACATGACAATAAAGGTACAAATGTAATTCAGGAGAACAGTGGTCCTACACTTTGGCTGATGCTGAAACCAGACTAAGAAGTTTAGACTTCACTGTCTGAATACTTGAGCGCCAATAACTTCGCTTTGTTTTGTAGAGTAGGGCACAGAGAAGTGACTTGGGTTGAGCCTTACTAATAGTATGGCAAATAACATCAGCATCACTTGGTAACTTGTTCCAAAGGCAGAACTGTAGACTTCATTGAACTTGACCTTTAGAATCTGATCCTATGTTTTAACAAACTCCTGGTGATTCCTGTGCACATTAAAGTTTGATAAGCTGTGGGTTAGAGGACTAGGCAGAAGAACTAAATTGGACAAACTTGGAGACTAAATATAATTGTTCAGATAAAAAATTTAAAACAGGAAAAGAAAAGATTGTGTAGATTTTTGGATTTTGGAGGTCAAATTTCCAAACTTGGCTGCTCTTTGAACAAGGGACACATCCAAGGTAATGCGTGTCTAGCCTTGGTGACTTGAGGATGAGGATGATCAAGAAGTGAAGGGGGGGGGGTGAGGGCCACAATTTTAAGGAGCCTTTGTATTAAAGGCCTGGAGAAGGTAAGGTTTTAACTTTGGTATTTTAACCTTTTGTAATATAATGATGAATTATTGACAGATGTTATTTCTCTCCTATTTTTTCCTTCTTCAAATACTACAGAGCAAAGCTTTAGCAAAGATGGATATTTTGGTGACTAAAACAGAAGAACTGGCAGAAAATATACTCCAGTGGCGAGAACAACAAAAGGAAGTCTCGTCTTGTATCCCCAAGATATTAGCTGAAGAAAACTATCTTCATAAACATTATCTTCATAAACATGATGTTATAATTCCTCCTTTACCTTTTACTTCTAAAGCTCATGTCCAAACTACTAATACCAAGTGATCATGAACTATTTATTTTTGCTTAAATATATGTAGTCCTGTGAAGTTCATTTCTAATCAGCTGTAACAAGGGTATTTATAGATTTTACTGCTAGTGATACTTAAAAAGCCCTCTTTATATTGAAGTATTAAGATCCCAAGTTCATTAAGACCAAACTGAATTTTCCTTTATGTTTCATATATTTTCATTCCACTTTTCATTGAAACTAGTCAAGATCAAATGTAACTGACAGGGCGCCTCCCTGGTGGCGCAGTGGTTGGGGCGCAGCCTATGGGGCGGTCCACAGCCACTGCAGCACGAGTTCAATCCCCAGCCAGGGAGCAACCCACATGGTGCAGCTGACCTCTTCTGTCTTGCCTGCTGCTCCCCTCAGCAGTGTGTTTCAGCACATCTGCCTGGTCGGCTCCCCATGTCTCTGGTGAATCCTCTCACTCCCCGCACTTCTGGCCTGTATTCCAGTTCTTGTATGCATTCATAAATAAACCTTAAAAAAATATCCTGCTAAAACAACCAGGGATTTTGTTTTGAAGCTGGCTTTTGCAAATGAGATATAAAAGACTGGTGATACTATTCTTAAACACTGCCTAGACACTTAAGCAACACTTTTAGTTGTATTTCACCAGAAATTTATTCAAGCCAAGCCTTGGTTTCAAACATCTTACTGTTTTTTTCTTTGTGTGTTTTCCTGTGTGCTTGTGTGTGTGTGTGTATGTTCACAAATATAAATATGACTAGTTGTATATGTATATTTTTTTGGTCTATTTTGTCTGTAAAATAAAAACAAACTTGTTTCTAACTAAAATTTTGTGGTCCTCGTCTGAATCTTATGTGGAAGAAGATTCTCTGTTTTCTTACACAATTAAAATGCAGACATACAAGCTGTCTAATTCACAAGTTTGAAATAAGTTGAGCGTGAGGTGTACCTCCAAATGAAAAGCTAATTTATTGCTATGCTAGTAAAAAAGGAAAAATGAAAGAAAAACCAGGCAGAACAGTCTTTTCAAAGCCGTATCATCATTATGATGGAAGTGAATTTGTAAATCCCACACATCTCCCTAGTGTAAAAGAGACATTCCAGAGCTATTTTTTTGTTGTAAGTATCCACATGCCCAAAAATTGAATTTAAAAAGTTGATCAGTAGTTCTATTTTTTTATTTCCCTGCAAAGTAACAGTGAGTAGAGAAGCCATTCAGAAGATAAGGGTTGCAGGTGAATCTGAATTGTAAATCTGCTATTCTGATCTTTACTCTGGGGGTGAGTATTTTTATTTATTTTTTAATTTTTAATTTTTTAATATTTGCTCAACTCCCTCAGGTTGAGTCCCCATAGAATTTCCTTCTGGGATTGAGTATTTTTAAAAAGAAATGAGAGCGAGTGACTGAATAGGTTAACAGCTATTGGAATATGCCTGACATTGAAAGGTACCACAGGGACACACTGCCTGTTACTAACCTACAGTAATAGCCTCATCCTTCCCCACTTCTCAGACTAGTCTCAAAACTACAGCCAGAATAATCATTTAAAAATATAACCCAAAAATACCGGATGGTCTCACTCATAGCAGGAATCTAGAAAACTTAAATAAGGGACCAGGAAAATGAATAACTATAAGAAAGTGAAAATCAAAATCAACAAAAAACTATGAACCAGAGACACTTTTTGGGGGGTGAGGGGCGGGAGGGGAGGGATTGGGGTCAAAATGGGGGGGTTGCAATTGTATGGGGAATATAAAAATAAAATCTATTATTTAAAAAAAATATATAACCCAGATCATTTTCCTCTTCTTAAAACTGCCATGGTTTTCCAGTGCACCTGAAGTCCAAAAACTTGACTGGTCTAATGCTACCCTCTTTGGCTCTCCCGGGTCACCTTTTTCGTAAGTGCTTCAATAGATTGTTAAATAAATGGATCTCTTCATCCCCATCACTCCATTCTCATTATACTTACATAGGAAATTTTTTTAAATAAATATATATTTGCATGACCCACTCATTCTCCAAATCTTTTTTTTTTTTTTAAATGGAGGCATGTTTTATTTATTTATTTGGTTGTTTATACAAGCACTGGGTACAGTCAGAAGCGCGGGAGGGTGAGAGAATTCACCAGAGCCAGAGCGGGGAGCAGAACAGGCAGAAGGACAGAAGTACACTGCTGAGGGGAGCAGCGGGCGGCAGGAGAGGTCTGCGCGCCATGTGGGACCCTCCTCCGGTGGCCGGGGAGCAGCCGGGGATCGAACCGGCGCCGCAGAGGCCGCGGGCAGCTTCGCAACCCAGCGCTCAACCGCTGCGCCACCGGGGAGGCCCTCCAAATCTTTTCATGTCACTTTATCACTAAGGCTTTTCCTGAAATTGCTATATAAAATAGTATCTTTCCCCCTAACAAACACAAACACGCACACCATGACTAAATCTCTTTACCTTACTCTTAGCATCATTTGACATATATTTATGTATTTCCCTTTCCTGTAAATTCTAAAGTTCACAAAGACATGATATCCTCAGCACCTCCGGCCAGCACTTGACTGTAGGTACTCAACAGCTATTTCATGGGTGAGTTAATGGGCCACTTTCGGCCCACAGCATTCTTCCGAGACCACGAAGTGCCAGGGTGGTCATGAGGTTCCAGCACAAACGGGAGCAGCTCACTGGTGAGAACGCTAAACTTCACACTCCAAATGCTTCTTCAGAGAGTCACTCCTCTCCGTTGGGAACATTAAAAATATCGATGTTTCCCCCATTTCATTTCTGCCCCTGATTTTTTTTTTAAAGATTTATTTATGTATCCAAGAACTGGGGTACAGGCCCCCCCAGGTGTGTGTGTGGGGGGGTGGGGGCTGAGAGGATTCACCAGAGACAGAGTGGGGAGCAGAACAGGCAGACTGACTGAAATACACTGCTGAGGGGAGCAGCGGGCGAGTCAGGAGAGGTCTGCAGCACCATGTGGGTCACCTCCCTGACTGGGGATCGAACTCGTGCTCGCTTCGTAGGTTGCATCTTAACCCCTTGCGCCACCAGGGAGGCTCCCTACCCCTAAAATTTCACCACAGAAATGACAGCGTGGGCCAGTACAGCGGATAAAAGTGCTGAATAAACTAATCTGTGAACTGCCGAGGACCAAGCAAAACTTACTGGACTGACTCGCCTCCAGCCTGCAGCCTGCGGGCTGCACGAGAACAAAAGCGAGCTCCTCCCAGGCGGGTCGGGCAGCGCAGGGCTCCGGGGCACGCCCCACGCGGCGCGCTCTGGGGCGGGGCCGCGCGGCAGAGAGGGGCGGGGCCCTCCCGCCTGCGAGGCTCATGATTGGTCGACGTTCCGCAGGCCCGCCCCGGCTGCCTGCGGCGCGCCTGGGGCGGCGCCCGGGCGGGCGTGGGCCCGGCGGGGCGCGTGGGGCGGGCGGGGCCGCCTCGTCTCGGGCTCGGGGCGGGGGCCGGGGATGCTGCAGCTGCGCCCACGGGCGAGCCTTGCGCGGAGGCCGGAGGATGGCGAACGTGCGGGTGGCAGTGAGAGTCCGGCCCCTCAGCAAGAGGTGAGTCTGGACTGGAGGGGGCGCCGGAGTCGTCAGTGGCTGGGAGCAGGGCGGGGTCCCGTGTCCCACGCCGCGGGTCAGGGGCCGGGACCGTGGAGGACTCGCGACGAGCCCTCCGTGGAGCTTTCGCGATGTGCTTCGGGGGTGGTCGGCTGCACTGCGCGGTGTCCCGGGCTCCTGCCCTCAAACCCTGGAGTTTGGAGGGACCGTGGCTCGAGTCCTCCTGCGCGGGTTGTGGCTTCCTCGCCGGGTGGGTGAGAGGTGCTGGGAGAGTGTGTCTGCGCGGGACAGGGCGGTCTCTCCTCGTGTCTCTAGGATGCCTGTGGGGATTAAGGTTGAATTGGGCGTGCACCTGGGTGCACGTGGGTTTCCCAGTGAAAATGTTAAGAAAGGCAGCTTGTGGGGCCTCCCTGGTGGTGCAAGGGGTTAAGCACCGCACTATGAGGGAATCTGCAGCCTCTGCAGCACGAGTTCGATCCCTGGCCAGCCAGGGAGCTACCCACATGGCGCAGCAGACCTCTCCTGTCTCACCTGCTGCTCCCCTCAGCAGTGTATTTCAGTCAATCTGCCTGTTCTGTTCCCCACTCTGTCTCTGGTGAATCCTCTCACACACACACACACCCCCCCTCATCTCTAGCCTGTACCCCAGCTTTCGTATGCATAAAACAAAAAAGGAAAGACAGCTTGTAAGATGTGAGAGGGAAATTGAAGCCCCGAGAGTGCGTGGTTTCATCCTACCCCACCACAGAACTGAAGCAGGGGAAGTTCTCTCTAACCCTCCTCCTGGTCAGAGCCCATTTCCTGGTGGGTCAGTGTGATCCTGCGCCTCTCAGCTCTTGAGGCCTCCAGTATCCAGCCACGTTTCTTCCCCCTTCACTAATTTTCCACCCATAGACTTGGAGAGTCATGGAAGACCTCAAAGAGATTTGGTGTTTGGATTTCTATTGGTTTGGTAACAGGTGGAAAAGGTGGAAAATCACTCTGTAGTAAGATCACCGGAAGGCACAGTAGATGAGCTGTTAGAAAAGAGATAATTTTTGGTTGTTTGGGGAGAGGATGTGTGGAGGAAGGTGAGTGATGGGAGATAAAATTGGCATTGTGTGTTTTGGGACCAGAGCATACATAATGGAATTATTTGAGACTTTTAAAATTTTTCCTGGACAATAAGATGGCTTGAAAATTGGGCAAAAAGGGAAAACAACTTAGTACTGACATGTTTATACTCATATGGAGGTGATTGATTGGTTTTGGTAAAGCACGCATTTGAGTGAGAAGAGCACTGAGATTGGGGAAAGAATCAAGAAAAACGGCAGAAGAAGTATCATGGAGGACGAGGGCAGCAGGTGCCTGACTGTGATGTTTAGATTGGTAAATGGCTTATGGCATCAGCCTTCTGCGTAATTGGATGTGGTGGCTCAAGGTTAGGGGGTTTTCATAGGTGCAGTTCCTACCCTTTGGAGCAGCTCCTCTTTTTGCAGAACTTTTCTTTTAGAGCCCTCAAGATAACACCTAATAGAAACTTCTTAGTTCCTTGGGAACCAAGAATTGTGATAGTAGGGATTAGAGTGAGAGAATGCTGTTGAAACGGAATTATTTGCAGCCACAGTAGAGAATAACATGTCCAACAAAAGTAAGGGGGAGAGAAGGGCACAAAAGCTTATTTACTTTTAGCTTAATTGCCTTGAGCAGCAAGTGGTATAATGCCAAGACTCAGATATCCAGGTGTGAGTAGGTTATAGCAGCCTGAAGATTCAGGAGCACAGGTTCAGAAGATATGGGTAAACCCTGAGTAACCCCAGCTGAGTGAGACCATTTCTCTTACAGAATCCTGCAGAGATGCAGTTATACTCCAGGATCTGTTGCCTTCCGTCATCTTCCCTCAGCCTCACCTAAATGTAGGGACTCTGCTCATTACATGGTTTAAGCTAACCTCCAAAGAAGTCATTGGCACAGACTCAGTTAACACAAATTGCAACTGTTGTACAGATAATCTTAGAGATCATCTGGCCTAAGCTTCCATTTTTTGTTTTTTCTACTGACAATCTCACTAGGTCTTTCTTGCATAAGATGTAGAAGTAGGTAAGCCAAGATATGATTAAGCAGACCAAGCTACTTCTTCCTGAGATACATTAAAGTTGCACTTTTTTCTCAATCAGATGCCTGTTTGCACAGTAGGACTAGAACTGACCCTCAGTAAAATAATGTAGGAAATGATTTTGATACTCTTCCCTCTACTTCACAGTTGCCCATAATCAGAAATATCACATCTCATTATAAGATACTGCCAATTATCAATCCAAAATTCGTCATCACTGAGAACGTGTCCTAGTCTGCCAGAATTGTAGCCTCTGGAACACGCCTCCCAACTGCCCTGTCAAAAGTCGCTTTTCATACATTATCTTCCCTTTCTGTGCTTTTAAAAAAATCTGTAAGTTAGGATAACTAGTTCAATGGCTTTTATGAAGATTAAGTGAAATAACACATTAAAAATACTTAACACAGGGCCTCCCCTGTGGCGCAGCGGTTGAGCGCTGGGTTGCAAAGCTGCCCGCAGCCTCTGCAGCACAGGTTCGATCCCCAGCTGCTCCCCGGCCACCAGAGGCCGGTCCCACATGGCGCGCAGACCTCTCCTGCCGCCCGCTGCTCCCCTCAGCAGTGTCTTCGGTCCTTCTGCCTGTTCTGCTCCCCGCTCTGGCTCTGGTGAATTCTCTCACCCTCCCGCGCTTCTGACTGTACCCAGTGCTTGTATAAATAAATAAAAAAATAAAAAATCAAATCATTCATTCAAAAAAACCTTAAAAAAATACTTAACACAGAGCCTGACTCATTTTAAAGTGTCCAAAAAATGTTAAGTAGATAATAATTTTTAACATTCCCCTCCTTATACTTAGCCATCTATTTTTTTATATTTATAAGAGCAGGTTTAGAAAAAAGGACGGAAGAGTTAGAGACACTTGCATAGACACAAGTGGGCAGGAATTGCTGCCCCAAAGGGACAGGTTTGTTGAGAGAGGCCTGCATGGTGGCAGGCAGTCGGCCTTGAGGAAAGTGGCCTCCACTGAGGGAGGTCAGTGAGGAGAAGTCCCGGCAGGTACAGGTCACGGGCAGGCAAGAAGCTGCTGCCCTGCAGAGGAGAGAGTTGGTGAAAAGTCACAGGTGGGCAGATGGACTGCTGCCTATTTTTTTTAAAGTTTTATATATGTATAGCAAGTGGTAATGGTTTGGTTGTTTTCCCTTCTTGGAGATTGGTTCTCAAATTATAGTATGCATTTAATCCACCTGGTGAGCTTGTTGTAGTGTAACTTGTTAACAGGAATTCAAATTAAGTAGCCCCACCATCTGTAATTCTGATGAGAATGGCCTGGGATCACACTTTGAGAAACACTGTCTTAGGATAAATGTAACTGAAAACTCTGTTGAAACCTTTAAACCAAAGGGGTGTTGGTAGCGTTCAAGGACCCCACAGGCAAGTGGCAGTAGCACCGTTGTGCCCTGTTTAATGTTCTTCCTTGGTAGACTTACACTGGACTCTGTGACATCGGCTCTCTAATTGAGATTGGTGCCCTTTTTCTGCTCAACTTTAATTCACCTTCATTTTGTCCTAGATTGTTTTGGGACCCTTGGTTACCCACGGCAGTGGTCCAGGCAGGTGTGGAATAGCATATCACTCTCCTCCAGTGTCACATCTTTCTGCCAAAAGCTCAAGTTCAGTACTCTTTTTTGGGGGGGCCAATTGGGGGCTGCTTTATGCTGGAGAGCCCTATACGACGCCTTATAATAAGGCACTCCTTAAAAAATTAGGCAATAGATTTGGAAAAGCTATAAAGGGTTTTCCCCTTTACTGTACCGATTTACTGTAATCTATGTATTACTTTTATCATGGGGGTGAATAATAAAACCAACTTTAATATGCAGAAAGGAAAAACTTATAAAATATTGTAAAACTTAAAGTTATAAAAGATCAATATCAAATATGAAATATTTTCTTTAGGAAAGTTGAGGGCTGAGGTGGGCCTTTTATGATTTCAGGGCACTAAGAATATCTGCTGCTTTAAGTACTACTTAGCATGAAATGTGCAAGAGCATCAGGGCCTTGGGGAAATTAGCAACAAAAATCTCATTACCTGGGAGAGTGGAATTTTCTATCTAGGGCTTTACCCCAACCTCACTGTAGTTTAAAACAAATTAAACCTCAAGACCCCTATCTTACTGTGTAGCCTGTATCTTCCAACTGTATTCTCAAGATTACATCTTGGGAACCCCTAGAAAAGATAAAAATGAGACAATGTATTTTCTCAGCTTTCAGATCCCAAACTGGCAGTAACTTAATTTATACATTTCACTGTAATTGAGGAAGTGTTAATGAATTGAATTCATATCTATTAAAATTCTGGCCTTGAGTACTTTAGCTAAAGTTCTTTAGGTTATGAAAAAGGATTTCATAGCTAAAATAGAGTATATATCATTCATTTGGGGCTTCAGTTATGTGAATCACTTCGATTAAGCCCTTTAAAGTGAATGGTGAGGGTGGCTAATTGTTAGCAGTATTATTATAGAACTGTAACATGGGATGATTCCTGAGGCTTTTGACTCTCATTCCAATTTAGGAAGATATAAGGAAAGGATTTAGGGAAGAAGTTCTCAGGATCTCAATACAGGAGACTCCAGAACTTTTATCATTACTGTCCATGCTCAAAATCCCAGAGAAAAGGAGGACCATAGCGTGGGCTAAGCCAAGGATACTCTCCAGGTTTCCTCACCTGATTTATAAGGTATAGTTGAGAGCCCAGGTTTTATGGTCAGAGAAATCTGGGTTTAAATCCCAGCTCTGCCATTGGTAGCCTTGTGATTTTGGACAAGTAACATAATTCTCTCTCTGTTAAAACGAAGCTGTATCAGGATTCAGTGTTAGGGAGTTGTGTAAGGTAAAGTATAACATGTACTACAGCCAATACAATGCCCCACCCATAGCAGGTGCTCAATAACAGTGACTATTAAATGTTCCAGAGTCAAATTCTAACCATTCAGAGAAGATGCCAGTGGATGGAGACTCTTAGATGTGGTATAGCTGCTTAAGGAGACAGAGACCCCAGTTACAGATGGCAGTAGGGAAACATTTTGTCTCAATTAACAGTGGTCTCAGCTTCTCTTTTCTTGATTAAGAAAAAAAAAAAAACCCCTCAGTGTTTCTTCTCATATTAGTTTGGATCTTGTTTCTAGGGAGACCAAAGAAGGGGGAAGAATTATTGTGGAAGTTGATGGCAAAGTGGCAAAAATCAGGAATTTAAAGGTAAGCCTGAAATTATTTTCCTTTTTCTTTCTAGAAGAGCTAATATTATTACAGCTAGTGGGGTGAAGGTGTATGTGGAGATGTGTTTTAGAGTGGGATAGTAGGAGAGGGAAGTACACATAGGGAAATTGTGGGATGAGCTTTGACCAACCACGAAGCAAATATAAAAATAAAGCAGGAAAGAAGTTCAGGGGATGTAACTACTATAGCTCAGGTTGTCAAATACAGTGCAGCTGTTTTGGAAATTGGTCAGGAGCTACTTTGAAGTAAACACATGGACTGTTATGGGGGCATGGCTAATTAGATCATGCTGGGGGCAATCTGTGTGCATATTTAACTCACCTGACCATCTGTTACACTCTATCCCAAACCTCTTGTTTGCTATCACTTCATCTAGATGCATTAGTAGGGATTTTCATATGCATCTGCTACTGCAGGATTTGTTTTGACCATAGTGAGATCCAGATAAGAACCTTCAGATTCCTGGAGGGAGTTGGTCCTTAATATGTGTTGCTAACAAATTCTCTTTCATGGATTTAACTGAGCTGCAAGTCACAACTGGACAAACAGGGAACTTCCTTCCCCACCCCTTACCCCCTCCTAGGGCTGATTTCCTCCATCCCGTTCTACCATTTATGAGGTCAGCAGAAGTAGAAGGAATTCTTCCTTTCTGGGCCTTGGAGAGAGAGTGGGGAGTGGAGAGAGACTGGGAATCAGGCCATGTGAGTATTGCTGCAGGTGGTAGCCCAAATTCCTGAGAGCTGTGGAAGCTGCTTGCATGAGTGAGTGTTATCTGGATCCCAGTGCTCCCTGCCATGTCCACTCCCACATTACTCCTGTGATGTGATCTAAACATGACCTGCCAAACTTTCAACAGGAGCTCCCAGGGACAAAATACTTTTTATTCCCTGGCGCTTCTCTTTTACATCTCTGTTTCCTAATCACTTCAACTGCTTTATCCTGAGATCTAATATCTTTGGTTTTTAGGAGTAAATCCTGGCCAGGATCAAAACTCTAATATGCCCCTCTGCACTCCTCCTTGGCTGCTTACATCCCTGAGGTCAGTTATTTACCAAGAATCACTATTTTTCTGACAGCCTTATTCTACTGTAGTTTGTGGTGGTTCGTGGGAGAGGCTGTCTCTCCCTATACAGAGTCTAAACTTTAAATAGTAAGACAGGGGGCCTCCTTGGTGGCGCAAGGGGTTAAGCACTGCACTATGAAGCAATCCGCAGCCTCTGCAGCATGAGTTTGATCCCCGGCCGGCCAGAGAGAAACCCACATGGTGCAGCAGACCTCTCCTGTCTCGCCCGCTGCTCCCCTCAGCAGTGTATTTCAGTCAGTCTGCCTGTTCTGTTCCCCGCTCTGTCTCTGGTGAATCCTCTCACCCCCCACATCTCTGGCCTGTGCCCCAGCTCTTGTATGCATAAATAAATCTTTAAAAAAAAAATAGTAAGACAGGGTATCTGTGAATAGTATTCTCCCCAGTACCTGGAGGTCGGTGCAGTTCCAACCTCTGGCTCTACCCTCATCTGCCTTTGGCAGTTGGATTGATCCTAGTTCTTCTGTCCAGTGTGATTTCTAATTTACTGAGAGTCCCCAGTGAGGGGCTCCTGTGAAAGTCCTAGGTTTATAGAGCCGGCTAGACCCAGTATTCAAACTACTCATGCAATCCTGGTATCATCTACCTAGATATGATGCTTAGACAATAAATGGTAGTGGTGAGAAGAAGCCCAGAATGAGAAAGACTTTTCCTTCCAACCTTTCCTATGCCTCCTGTGGTCGGTTCATATGTAGACAGGGATATGTCAGTGTGAGACAAATGTAATTCTCTGGGGTTCTGTTTGCACCTAATGAGATGAGGTCAAGGTGATTATTATTTTCTTTTTCAGCAATCCTTATAAAGATTCTGATGACAGCACAGGTCTCTCTCTAGCAAAAAGGAATCAAGTGCCACTGGCCAGACTCTGATATTTTAATGGGGAAGACATTAATCTTATGTTTGACTTTAGGTCGACAGTCGACTGGACAGCTTTGGTGACTCCCGAGAGAAGATTGTGGCATTCGGTTTTGATTACTGCTACTGGTCAGTCAACCCGGAGGATCCCCACTATGCGTCTCAGGATGTGGTAACCTCATTTTTCCTTTATTCTGCTCAGTTCTTCCTAGCTGGATAATTATTGGGCCATTAACATGGAATCTGGGCCCTGGTTATTTCTAATGATCATTTTGTCAGAAATGAATGATGTTTTGATCTGAGAAGGGCTAGTGAGAGGCATCAGTTGCAGAAAGAGCAAGTTGGTGAGGAGAGGCTGCATGCTCAGTGCACGGAAGTTGGCTATGTCCATTTACACTTGAGCCTCAGTATGATTCAGGTGCGTACAAGTTAGTTCCGGTAGTCTTCTGCTCCTGTGGAGGTAAACGTTCACCTACCTCAGAGGTAGTCTGCTGCTCTATGCAGCATGAGGGCTCAGGAATCCTGGTGGCTATTCTCTTCTTTGAGTTTTAGGCTTTGCTTGAGCATAGACTGAGAGGGCAAGAGGGGTAGTCTGCCAGCCTGTGTGATGTGGAAGAGGTGACTTCTGCTTATCTGCTGAGGATTGTGAAGACCAACCAAGGCTTTGGAGGCTAAGATTGTTCATTACCCTTCTTTTTTTTTTTTACATATGTATTTTTTGATTGATTGATTGATTTATACAAGCACTGGGTACAGTCAGAAGTGCGGGAGGGTGAGAGAACTCACCAGAGCCAGAGCGGGAAACAGAACAGGCAGAGTGATGAAATACGCTGCTGAGGGGAGCAGCGGACAGGAGAGGTCTGTCGTGCCATGTGGGACCCTCGCCAGCAGCCGGGGATCAAACCAGCGCTGCAGAGGCGGCGGGCAGCTTCGCAGCCCAGCGCTCAACCGCTGCACCACCAGGGGAGGCCCTGTTTGTCAACTTTCTTGTGCATGCCTCTCTACAGGTTTCTGGCAGCAGATCTGGCCAGATGGGTCTATAGGACTTCTGTTTCTGTGAAGCAGCAGTATTGTTCTGGGTTGAGCTCTGTTGATATCATGTATTTAGTCCCCAGGGTGGCCAGCAAGCCTTGCCTTCACCCCAGCTGCTACCAGAATTCTCTCTGTGCAAATCCTAAAATAAGAAAAATCATTTATTTGGCCTTTCTTGAGTCAGTATCATCATACTTAAAAAGGAAAGAAAACACTGCAGGAATACGTGCTTTGGAAATGGGAATATTTGAGGGGAACCCTGGATAACTTTGTATATTCATCTGTATACCTTTGACTAAAGAGCCAAAACATGTTTTCTGCTAAAGTATTTTAGTCTTTTCTAAAATTTTTTCTAGATATCCCCAAGGAACAACATTATCAAGTGTGAGTGACTTAGAGAACAGTACTGATTTTCTGCTGATGCAGACGTCTGAATATGACTGGATAGCTCTAAACCATGGAAGTGTAATCACTCCATTTTTCCCCTGCTCAGGAGAGCAGGTGGAAACAAGACTCTTGACCACATGGGCTTTGTTGTCTCTGTGGGTCCCTTCTGTTGTAATACTTAGTCCCTGCTTTGTAGTCACAGTAAGTTTCCTACCAATGCTCAGCAGAAAATAAGCAGTAATGATATACATGGCCTCTAGCAAGTCTTCTCTGTCCTTGGGAAGATGAAGACACTGACAGGTCTAGACTTGTCTGGTGGCCCTTGATCTTTATCTAGCACTCAAGCATGTGAAGTATCTGGTTGCTGGTATTTGTAACGGTTCCACAGAGATCCATCAAGAAGAGACAAGGAAGGAAATGACTCTCTGTAAGAGGGTGGGACTCCTATAGCAGTTCGCAGTTGTGACTGTGTTTTTGGCATAGAAGACAGTGGTCTGTTAGCAGAAAGTGTGAGCATTTTGATGGCTATTTCAGTTTTCCCCGGGTGATAGCATACCTAGAGCTGTACTGTACATAAGAAGAATTAAATATTACTCCTTAAGACACAAATAACCTTTGATAGATCAGAAGAGGGGTGTGTGTGTGTATTTGTGTTTGTCCGTGTACCAGTATAAACAGAGCAAATCTACTTTGTCTACCTATATCAACAAGCTTGGGCTGAGTTTGGTGCAAGGCTTATGTTATACATTTATGTAACTTGAATGTGTAAAAATAATTGAGTGGGCAGCCATAAATACGCTGCTGCTTTTGTTGCCTTATTTGAAGTTCAGTGAAAAGACCAAATGACAGGAAGCCTGTGCAGAAAGATAAAACTAGCATCTCCTGGGGTTTATTTTGGCTTGTTTATTAATTGTCTAAGGCACTCATTGGTTTGAAGGGACATCAAGATAAAAGAGAAGGAAAGGAACCTTTCTCAGTCATAGGCTGGAGTAGGGCCAGAGGTTGCAGATGGTGACAGGACTCCTATCCATGGTGAGAGGGACTCATTGTTTTGACATAGAAATTAGAGCCTAGACTTAACCCTGATCCCCATGACTCTGAGGCCACCATGGATATGAGAGGCAGATTGTCATAAAGCATAGTAAACCTTTTTACAGCATATGGGATCACATTTGGGCAGGTGAGGGAAGAGGGATCAGTCTTACTGAAGTATAATCTAGGCACTGTAAAAATTTATCATTTTGGTATACAGTACCGTCAGTTTTGACAAACATATACTGTTGTGTGGCTGACACTGTAATTAGTATATAAAACAGTCCACGATCCCTAAAATTTCTTCATCTCTTTGTAGTCAAATTACAAAGTAGTGTAATTTGACTGGGATCTACTGGTCTGTTTTCTGTCCCTCCAGTTTTGTCATATAATTGAAATAAAACAGTATGTAACCTTTTAGGTCTGATTTCTTTCACTTAGCCTGATGTATTTGACACTCATCTCTGCTGTTGTATCACATTTTCTTCTGATCTTGATTCAGACTTACTTAAATCATCTTTCCCAAAAGGAATCTCCTGGCTTTGGAAAACCTGATTCTAATGGCAAAGGTGAGAAGCCAAGTCCCCAGAGAACTGTGCTTCCTTCATCTCTGGTTCTCTTCCATCTTTGGGTCTCAGAAATTTGCACTGATTTCAGAATATCCAAATAGCTAAGGGAAAAATCCAACCCTACACCCCCCACACACGGCCTTAAGGAAATTTGGAGCAACTTCATAAGAAGCTGTTGGTTGGTTGATATTAGAAAGAAAGTCATCTGTTTGGTGTTGGTGCCGCCTCATCGTAGTTTCTTAAAATGTTAGAGCACAAAGGGAACTTAGCTGTCATCTAGGTCTGGGATTCTCAACATCAGCACTATTTTTATTTTTACTGGATAATTATTTGTTGTAAGAATCTGTCCTGTGCATCATAGGATGTTTAGCAGCATCCCTGCCTCTACCCATTAGATGGTGACCATCAAAAATGTTTCCAGACACTACTCACTAATCTAGACCAATTCCCTTAAGTTACAGATACAGCCACAGACTTATATGAGGTTGTACAGGCAGTTAATGCCCAAGCAATACTGGATCCAGGCTTCCTTTTCATTGCACTTTATCATTCTACCTTCTTTTTATGTTTATTGTATAGCCTCAAAAGATAGCTTCAAAATTTAAATTCCTTGTAAATTTCCAGTCTCTGTGGAAAACAGTGTGGAAATTCTTTAAGAAAATAAAAATGGAAATATCATATGATCCAGCAATATCACTCCTAGGTATTTATTCCAAGAATATGCAAACATTAATACAAAAAAATTGTGCATGGGCCTCCCTGGTGGCGCAGCGGTTGAGCGCTGGGTTGCGAAGCTGCCCGCAGCCTCTGCTGCACCGGTTTGATCCCCGGCTGCAGGGCGAGGGTCCCACATGGCGCGCAGACCTCTCCTGCCACCCACTGCTCCCCGCAGCAGTGTACTTCAGTCCTTCTGCCTATTCTGCTCCCCACTCTGGCTCTGGTGAATTCTCTCACCCTCCTGCGCCTCTGACTGTACCCAGTGGTTGTATAAATAAATAAATAAATCTTTAAAAAAAAAAAAAAAAAAAAGATTGTGCATCTCTGTGTTCATAGCAGATTATTCATAATAGCTAAGACATGAAGTCAACCTAAATGCCCATAATAGATGACTGAATAAATAAATTGTGGTATTAAAAATATGAAATAGTGACATTTGGACAGTATGGGGGGGGTCTTGAGGTGATCATACTAAGTGAAATATGTCATAAAGTGAAGAACAATTAACTTATGGATTCTCATTTGTGGAATATAAATTTCTAAAAAAATAGAACAACAGCTGGCAAAACACAACAAAATTACTGTTAGTCTCTGGAAACTATGTTGGTCACCAGCAGGAGAAGAGGGAAGGAAGGAGAGCATACAGGGGGTAAGGTCAGAGCGTATTGGCCCTGGGGTTTTGGTGGTGGGCAGATGAACATTGGAACATGTTGAGGCATGATGTGCTCCCAAAATGATACATTATTATAAACAACGGGCAAATCAATAAAATCTTTTTAAAAAGAATTAAAATTCCTTAGTGCTGTAGCACTTCCTGGTCCTTAGTGGTGATGTGCTTAAGTGCTTAAGTAAATAGATCAAGTGTTGGCAAACATGGGCCTTTAGAAAACAAGTGAATTACTCCAAGTTCTACTGAGAGGAGCTTTGTATGTTATCTGTTGATTATGTCTATCATTTCATTTGCTCATCTCTCAAAATCTGTTCTATCTTACTCCATTTTACAAATAAGGAAATTGAGTTATGGAATGGTTACAAGATTGGTCCAAATCACTTAGTGGTAAGTGTTGGTAGGACTCAAAGCCAGAACTGTCTAAACTGTATGCCATTTCATCCAAGCCTCACTGACCCTCGAAGTTAAAAAAAAATCCATTTATTCTGCTAGTGATGTGACCAACTCTTTATATATATTATCTGATTTAACTCCCTCAACATAAAAGATGGGTTTTATCCTTGCCCGCTGCTCCCCTCAGCAGCGTATTTCAGTCAGTCTGCCTTTTCTGTTCCCCACTCTGGTGAATCCTGTCACCGCCCCCCCCCCCACATCTCTGGCCTGTACCCCAGCTCTTGTGTGCAAAAATTTTTTCTTTTTTTTAAAAAAATTGGACTTAGGGTACATGATCTCCCAAAGTCGCACAATATGATATGAGTCTTAGAA